TCCAGACAGAATATGTAATCTCTTTGATTTGAAGAAGTATAGCCCGGATAAATTTTATTTTCTAACAAAATGTAATCTGTATAAAACCTGTAGACATGATTTTCTAAAAAAAATTATTGGAATTTCAAATTTACATATAAATGATTTAAATGTTCTATATTTAAATATAATTCATTTCCCACGTCAAACTGTGAGTTTCATATATACCCAGCTAACACAAAAACATTTTAAAAATGTTTTAAAAACATTTTCAAAATGTTGCGAAAACATTTTTAAAAAATGTTTTAATCACGTGATTTTGTATGGTTTTTTAAACGTTTTTAAAACATTTTTGTATATTTCAGCACAATGTTGTCAGAACATTTTCTTAAAATGTTGCAAAAACATTCAAAAATGTTTTAATCATTTGTATGGTTTTTTAAACGTTTTTAAAACATTTTAGTAAAATATTTCAGCAAATGTTTCCGGAACATTTTCTTAAAATGTCACAAAAACATTTTACAACAATGTTTTAATCACGTGATTTTGTATGGTTTTTTAAATGTTTTTAAAACATTTTATAAAATATTTCAACAAATGTTATCATAACATTGTTTTCAAATGTAACAAAAACATTTTTAAAAATGTTTTATTCACGTTTAATTTGTTTGGTTTTTAAAACGTTTTCAAAACATTCAACTCAAGGTTACAAAAGTATTTTTCCTGAAAATTTACTTTATATCATTAAATAATGAAATATTCATATTTAAAAAAATAAACAAAAATTATATTTAATTTTTGAATCTTTAATACAAACCCATATTCAATATGTTAATCACATTTAAATTCCATTCTCGGTACAAGTTTTAATTTGTTTTCTTTCAAGTCACCGAGTTTTTAAAGGTTGAAAACGGCGTCTAATCCATTCACTGAATTTTAAGAGAACAGAATCACAGAAATCCTATGTTCACTGTTAACATGGTAAAGGTAGAACAGAGCGGCGGATCTATAAGCACTAGTTAGACTCACATACACTGAAAAGACTGATTAGGAATCCACCCCTCGGAGAGAATAGCACAGTCTGTAAAGAAAAGGAAAATTATGTTTGTATCAGCGTTCTACATCAAATGTAATCAATGGAAATATACAAAAAATATTTTTAAATAATAATTATATCAAATAAAAGTTCTTTCCTCATTGGCATTGAAAAAAGCAGAAAAATAATTACTATGACAATATTATTGAGGAGTAATAGTATTTACGTACACCTTTGCCTTCACCAAAGGCGGGTCTTTTGAATGTGGGAATTTGAAAATACGGATATGCAACCAGTTGTAAAGAAATTTCATTTTTAAATTTATTGTTTGATGATTAACATTATACTTGAAACAAAGATATAATTGTTTTTATAATATTAAATCAAATACAAGTATATAATCTTAATGCTTTGTCATTGCTACATACATTTGTACAAAGTTGATTGTACTTGTAATTGATTATCACTGGTAGTATAAAAGTAATTTTAAATGATCTTTTAAAATCTATGATGAAGGAATAATTCTTACCATTCAAAGTTAATAAATCCCGAGGTTATTGTCGTGGTTTATATGGTGCAAAGTCTTTTTCAAATCGGCACGGAGTAAGCGCGCACATCTTGTTTACCAGAATTCAAAATTTGGCCTAAAAAGCAAACCACTATACTTTTAACGCGCTGCCCAGCAGGAAAATTGCATAAGAGGTTATCAAGACACTGAAACTTGTGCCAATCCCTATCTAATGCCTCATTTAAAATTCTATGGATACAGATTTGCTGAAGAACTTTATTTTTTAAAAAGACTTTAAGAGTTTTATTTAATGCTTATGATTTTATACATCTATTTATATTTTAAAATTTTTTGTTTGCCTATCCTTTCATTTATTGACTTTTTGATTTGGTTAATCAAAGGACTTTATATAATTTATGTCTGTTTTATCAATAAGCCAAAACTAGAAATCATTATAAAATACCGGAAAAAATCTTTCAATTAAAAAATTACTTCAATTCCTCATTTTAACACTATTCTTTCTATATTTTCTTCATAAGCTAGATTTTAAAAAAAATAACAATAATACATTATTTGAATGTTTTAAGAACATTTTGAAAATGTTTCTAAAAATGTCAAAACTATAATTAAAATGTTTCAATTGTAGTGAAAATAGTTATTTTAGTTACTGTTATAAATAAACATTTTCACTGCCTAGGCCTAAAAATATCTGGAATTGAATGTTTTTAACTAACAGCGATATTAAGAATGTTTTTAAAAAAATTTCAAATGTTCCTTACAAATGTTTTAGAATCGTACAATGTATATGCAATGTTTTCGATTTACAGAAAAAGAATGTTTCATTTCATGTTTTAAGAACGTTTTTAAAACGTTTTATAAGATCTTAATATATTGAAAGCTATAAAAAACCCTAAATGAATTAAGAATGTTTCAAAAACATTTTGACAACGTTCCTTCCAAATGTTTCAGAGACGTATTTATGCAATGTTTCAAATTTATGGAAAAGGAATGTTTCATTTCATGTTTTAAAAACGTTTTTAAAACGTAATATAAAAATCTTTGATAGTTGAAAGCTAAACATGCCTTTTGAAACATTTTTAAAACGTTTTAAAAATATTTTAGAAAAATGTTCCAAAAGGATTTAATCATAAGCTTTTTGAAAACATTTTAAAAATGTTTTTAAAATGTTATAATGAAAATAGGAAATGTTTTAAAAACATATTTAAAATGTTTAGTCTGAAACGTTTCGAAAAAACCTTTTTACAACACCAATAAAATGTTTTGAAAATGTTTTGTGCTACCTGGGTAATTAGGGATGTCAAATCGGTCAATTTTTAATACTCGGTTATTCCCAAGTTTTGCCCTGCGTCCACTCAAAAGTGTAATATAAATAAATATGAATAAGTAAATTGATGAATGTAAAACATTGTAAACACTTGTAGAAATAAAACCAGATGCTCTAATAGGAGGTTTACATGTAAATGCATTTCTGTTGTAACATTATGATGATGAGTTAAATTTAATACGATTTTTTAAAGTTCAATCTATTTATCAGATAAACACAAGAAATAAAATCGTAAGTGGTTCAAAAAAAATATAATCATCCGTATTGTCATGTAACTCTTTGTTGCATTTGACGTCAAGATATAATCATTTTGACTTGAACTTGACCAAGTTCTAAGAGAGCCTATTTACGATTTTCGAATACTTGATCCAATTTTATTATCCAGGACGGTATTTTGTATTTTTCATTTTTTTTAAAGTCTTATATTTGTAATGTTTTGGCATTAATCAAACACAACCATATCAACAGTGCGCGTTATTTTATTCTTTTCCCGAGAATTTATTGTCAACAAAATTTCTAATTCATTTAATCATAACAGAACTTAAACGATGTTCAGTGTAAACAAATAATTAAAGAAAGTCAAAAAAAGGAAATGACATCGAAAAAAGCCAGGTAACAGGTGCTTGTTGAATAATTACTGTATAAACACTAAATAACGGTCATTTAAGATACAAACCCTAATGTTTTTAAAGTGCATGGTATTTTACGTTTTAATACATTGTTTAATGCATTAATAAATAAGCTTAGAAATATTTGAAAATATACCCATACAAGTAATTTTTATCCAAACAGGAATTAAAATGGACATACACATGTTAACCGGGAATTGTGTTGAGAAATATATAATCCATATGTTAAATATTTCATATAAAAATTTCATATGTATTTTAACAAAGAAAATTCTCTACTTCTTTTCATCGGTTCATATGTATATATGCATCATTAAGTCTGGCTGAAAAAAATGTCTCAAATATCCAAATTTATCCATTGTATTTAGTCAAAATTATTAATATTTAATGAAATTTAGTACCCAAGATATTTATACATTATTTGATTTTCAATATATTTCATTGATTGAAGAAAGAAAACTAAGGAAAACTGTTCCAAAACTAGAAAATATACTACATGTTTAATCATTTCTTGGGATCAGGGGTATACTATATAGTTCAAACCTTTTTTCAAATTGATTTTTTTTATCTTACGCATTACCATGCAAATATAACCCTGACTAACCTGAAACAACAAAAAAGGGGGCGTATTTTAACAAGAGTAGTCCCAGAGAGTAGCTCTGATTTTTCACAGATTAGTCTTCAGATGGGGGAAATAGTCTCTTCTCGGGGAAACAGACAGTTCTATGGTATTAATATTATATAGAGTAATAACAGTAGAGGCATAATATAATATCCAGTTGATAAAGGACGATTGAAATTTAGTCATATTTTATAGTAAAGGAAGATTATAAGTTTTATAATTTAACAGTCAATAATCTTATTTAGGCACGGATTTAGAATTTTCTTCAAAGGAGGGGTGAAAAGAAAAAGAGTTATTATAACGCACGTTTTACACATAGATCCCCCTTTACAAATTAGGATTTACGGGTTCGGAGATATGTAGCTTTCTTTTTCAAACAATACCAGGTAATCCATGCAAGTATTTTTCCCAGGATGTTCAACTTCCCAATTTTAAAAACCATCTCCTTTTTTAAAACTACATATAGGTTTCATTTTTGTTTTCACTTGTAACCGAATTTCTTTATATAGTATATTACAATATTTTTGCATTTCACTGAACATTTTCTATAGTAAAAACACAACAAAAATTTGGGAGTTCCTTCTTTCTCTCTCTTTTGCAAATCCAAAGGGGAGGATGCAACCCTTGGACCTCTCCCTCTGGATCCGCCACTGTTCTTCACCTGTTTGAAATCCCCGCGTTTCCATTTTGGCGGGTAAATGTTTACAGGCGCTATTGAAGAAGGCAAAAAATATCATGAATAGTAAATTAAAACCTGTATGGTAAAATTCTTCAAGTTTAGCAATAAAATGATATTCTTACGTCTAATATTCCGTCCGAGTTGCAGCGGGTGGGCTATTCTTGTTTATATCTAATAATAGAAACAACAGCGCCACCTTTATATGAAATCAACATGGCGCGTTTACGATTTCCAGGCCGTCCTGGATGTAGATTCGATCGACTGGGAGTGCGCTATGGTGCTGATGAGGCCAGAAACACCAACGATCCTCTTACATTATTTGTAGCAAACATTCACCGTGGATTGCGATTGTTTAGAGAACTTGTTGGTGATTCGGATGAGGTAATTCCCAAGTTTTGCCCTGCGTCCACTCAAGATGGCCGCCATCGATCGTTTTCTACGATTGTGGCCTTACTTTTCCACTTTGTTTGCGTTCATTGAAATTATTTACGCGTTGATTCATAGATTCTGATCTATTTCAAAACTTAATTCATCAAAATAATGCAACAAATAAATCAATCATCCATTTCTTAGGGAGAAATCTATATGTTTAAGTGACCCCCCTCCAACCTGATGCAATATTTCCTTGTATATTTCATTTTAATTCATAGTCCTATATTTCGTAACGTTTTGATTCATAATTGTGATTATTTTATTCTTTGAGTTCATTGTCAACAAACTATTTCATTATTACTACGTCTAGATTGTTTATTATGCGTATCAGGAAATGACATTGAAAAATGCTAGCATCGTATCCTGTTGAATCTAAGTTCAGACACTAAATAAAAAGATACAATTGTTTTTAAAGTATGGAGTTTACGAATATATGTATTTAGATGTTGTTTATTCCCATACAAGTAATTTTTATCCAAACAGGAATTAAAATGGACATACACATGACTGGGAATTGTGTTGAGAAAGTTTGTTCCATGATGATTTCAAAGTATTGCTTAACTAAAGAGATGAATTTTCAAGTCAGACAAAATCACAAGAGTGTGTTTTAGATTTGTAGCAGGAAGTTACAGGGTTTTTCTGCCATAGGGAAAAATATTTAACATCTTTAAAGCACACAAATGACAGAAATGCTGGCCATTTTGAGTGAAAATATATTTTACTTTTGTATTATTTATTGGAAAATGAGCAGGTATTAGAGCAATAAATCACTTTTCAAAAGAATAGGTTTGTCATTTTGAATTATTTTATTACTGTCTTGATAATTTTTGCATAGTACATGTATTTGAAAGGATGTTTTGATCTGTGTGCTTAATATATGTCACAAATATACGTCATCTGTAACATTTGTTTTTACACCTATCCTCCCCTTATTGACTCAACAAAAGACCTTATGGTAGTGGACTCTGTAGACATGAAATATTTCAAACGTAAATATTTTTCTATTGTATTTCCTTTGGAAAGTAAAAGAAGAGTGTGGAATGAACTTTCTCAACACCCTTTACGTGTATATGAAGAGTTAGGATCTAAATATAAGAATTGTGATATTTTATATACATACATAGTTGCAATCTGCATCTACTACATGGTGTTCAATTAAAAAAAATCATTCCAAAATCTCTGCTAATATCAGACAGGTGGGGATTTTTCAATATGTTTATATTTACTCAATACTCATTGACATTGCTACTATGACACATGGTAATATTAAGTTATTACCAAAAATTGAAAATCAAATGAAATATCTGTCAGTTACATTATAATGGATTGCACAACTCATTTGAAGTACTAAACCAAATTTGAAGGACATGAAAATGTAGTAAGCACATTTAAAGAAAATTCCTAAGGCCAAGATAAATAAAAAGTGTGTTTCCTTTTCCAACCAATTAGGGTAGGTAAGTAGGGAAAACATTTTATTTTGATTTAACATTTTTTGGGCAGGCACACAGCTATGTTCCCCAAGGAAATTCATGTGCTGTCAAAATATTTCTGATTAATGTGCATGTGTGATATGCATTTTCCCAAACATGGAAGTGATCAAGATTTGGATTTCTAATTGTAAAACTGGAGTAGTTTACTTATCTCCTGGAAAGATATTGACAGAAAAAAAATTTCAGGGTCGGCTCCTATACTGTATTTAAGGAGGCTGGGGGGTCAACAAATTAACCACAAACTAACCACCAGATTTAACTTATTTTTTAAGATATGGTATCTTAAGCTGTCAACTATCATTTGGCAAAGAAAAAATTCATACATTTTAGTTTTAAAATTTGATCATTCTTGTATATCTTTATATGGAGCTCTCCTTTTAAACGAGATCGAAATGGTCTGAAAATGGCTGCCACCCCCCAGCCTCTTTAAGAGTCGGTCTGGGAACCGTAAACATACTAATTATTTATCTAGGCCTAAGTGATATCAAATGATCAGTACATGTGTGTAGTACATTAATTGATGTGATTTTAATTTTATGATTTTTAAAGGATGATGAATTTGAAGGCTTTACCAAAGAGGAAGTCCGACTTTCAGAAAAAAAATTACAAAAGGAGTTGGCCAAATATAGGAGAGAACAGGAGAGTGATATTACCTCACCAGGTAGGAATGTAATGTATTATATTGGGTAATGATGTTAACAAAATTAATGCATTTAATTATCATGTGTCTGTGTTGTATAAGTCACAGTGTTGTCCCTAAGAATTGAAATAACAGATGTTTTTTTAAAAGTAGAAGGAGGTTATTGGTTCCTTCCCCTTGCAGAGAACTGAGGGGAGATACCAGAATATCATGGGGTTTAAGTCATTATTGATGGTTTTCCATTGAGGTGATTTAAGAAAGACTTGTTCCCCATGGCTGCCATATTTTAGGGCAAGATTCCCAGATCCCTTCATTATTCAACCAAGTTCAATTTGTTATACTGATTACCGAGGTAAAGATAACACTATTTTTCTTATGAATATACATACCCTGGTATATATGGATAAAGCCTCTAATGCCCTCTATTAATTCATAATTTTAAGATTGTAAATATTTTCCCCCATATATTTCTTGCATGCATGTTTAAAATTGGTTGCTCAAAGAGGAAAATTCACTGTTTGCCCTACAAGATGGCGGCTAAGGGGAATAACTCTGAGGCAAAATACACGACGTAGGAAAACCATCTATGGACAATGAAATTCCCTGGCCCCCAGGTTCATGGAGAAAATCCTGATGTCATTTTCCTGCTGGTGCTTAAAAGTTCTATCTGCCATGTAGATGTTAATTTTTTCTACTTAAGTGTTGTTGTTCATCATGTGTTCATGCAAAATTGTGGATTCCTTAATTGTTTAATTAATTGTAAAATACTGTAAAATTGTGTACTCACTACTGATTTTATCTATGATAAGAAAATGTCTACAAAATGATGATGGTGGTGGCTAAAACGAGGTCTTTAATTTTGGAAGGTATAAATTTCAAAATGTTTTCTTATTCAGTTTCACCCCAGTTTGGCACAAGGTTGTCGAAACAGAGAGAAAGCTTGGAAAATCTACCCTCTGCAGAATGCACAAGGAATCGAAAGTCTACACTCATCAGAAAATCGTACAAAGAAATGATCAATCAAGGTAGGTTTGTTTTATTTACATGCCCAAACTTTTTCATTTCAAATATTTTTAAGTATTGTGTTAAGATATTTTTTTTTCCTAAATTGTTACTGAAAATCCGTCAGCCAACAGGTTAGTGAAAATGTTAAATCCACAGGTTACTTGTAAATTAATTTTTTTCTAGGTCTTGGAACACCATCAAAGTCGTATGTTGTCAAAAAAGCAAAAGACTCAGCATCTGCAAGAAGTGAGGCACGGAAAGAGTTGAAGAAATGGCAGAAGGACAGAAAATCTACAGAATCAAATCAAGAAAAAGCCCACAAAAAATTCAAAATACGACTGGATCCTCAGGGTAAAGTGAGGAAAATCAGTAACAAGAGACGACGGCCCTCGAAATTTGATGATTCAGATTCTGATGACGAAGATAAACCTTTAATAGTGGATGAAATTGAAGAAAAGGGGTCTACTGAGAAAGGAAAAAAGAAAGTGAAAGAGAAAGACAAGTTTTCAGCTGTAGGAAAGGCAAAGCAGTTATTGCAGAAAGCAAAGACATGTAAAAAAGATAAAGTGTCTCCAGAACAAGCCAAAAAGAAGAAGGTTTCTGCCAGAAAACAGTTTGTTTTGCCGGTGCTCAGTTCTAGGTCATCTCGTGTGATCATTCCAAACAAAAGATTCATCGAAGAAGACAGTGAAAATCTGGGAAAATCTTTCGTGAAGCGTCCGGCACTGAAAACGGACCAGTCACCAAAACCAGCAGCGATGGAACCAAAATTACTATCTGAGACTGGTTTATTTGCTAATGCATCAACCAAGCTGCAGATTGAAACAGAAAAACTGCCATCATTACCAATATCAAGTTTGTCTCCATCTGGAATTGTGAAGCCCAATTTTGAGGCTTTGACAGGTAAAAATTTTATTTCAATTGAAGAATAATTTGAATTTAGTACTAATATTCCTTTACTGTTCTGTTTAAAAAGATTTGTTCATTACTTCTTCTTCATCTTTTATACCCTTTCTTGCATGCTGTTAAATGTTGTGGATGAAAATCTTTTATCCATGTTTTATAAAGGAATCGGTGGATTCCCCTCACCTTTGTACGATCAGCCGTTGATCGTGGAAGGGAAGCGAGCCAGAAAGCCAAGCTTAAAGGTTCGAATGAAAATGTCTGATTCCTCGTATAAAAAATTCAAGGAAAGGTCTTTAGAGAAGAAGTTAGAAGCCCGCAAAATCCTCGAGCAGGAGAAAGTGAAACAGAAAGAACAAGACTACGCACACGAGGGCAAAAAGTTATTTTTATCGCCTTCCAAATTAGGTGCCACATTAACACCCAAGTTACCTACGATACCAATCATGGCACCACCAAAGTTTGGAGTGGCACCATTTTCATCCATTTCAGAACGAGAGCGTTTGGAGAAACTAGAACGAGAAGCCCTTGTGAAACGCATGCGAGGGCACAACATTTTACGTAAAGCCAAATTTCAGCTGAATCGCGCAGCATTAAATAGATCTAAAGCTGATTTGGCCCGAACATTGAAAAAGGAATTAAAAATGGAAGCCAAATTACAGAAAATTCAAGAGAGTCACAAAAATAAATTGGTATCCACTGCTTCAGGGGTTAGGTTGGAGCAGGATGTTGGGGGTATGTTATCATGGGTGAAAGGTAACAAGGTGCACATATAGTGGAATGAATTTAGCAAAACATGCAGAAGATCCGAAATTAATTTCTCGAGTAATATATTTTGAAAACACAATTCTTGCAGATGATGGTTCCACTAATAAAGTGTACATCTGCTGCATTTGTGACAAAGGAATGGCTGCTCCTAGAAGGAGAAGTGGGGTGTTAACCTGTGAGAGCTGTAGGAGGTTTTTCCAGGTTCACACTGAAAAAATTAATCAGAACCAAGCTTTGACATGTGCAACGCGTATGTATCAGTAATTTGCCATGAATTATTTGTCTGTGTTCTCTAAAATTGAAAAGAAGTTAAAATATTTGAAATTTTATTTTTATGGTTCTGCAGGGTCATGTAGGATTCATTATAAGGAGAAACCAATCTGCGAAGATTGTCGCTACAACAAATGTCTGAAATTCTTCAATTTGGGAGACAGAAAAGCTCCAAGCAGCAATGACCAAACTGTAGGGCCCAGTGATGTTACAAAGGAGATTCATGTTGCTAGTAAGAAGTTTTACATTGTAAAAACTCAATTGCAGATTATCAGGAAATTTTATTTGATTATAACAATATCATAGCAGATTCAAATCAAAATAATTGTACTCTATTGAAGTGATTACAAATAACATGCTTAGAATGATTAAAAAAAATGGAAAAGACTAGACTTGAAGGATTTTATTTGCTGCTATTTTAATTTTTTTTCTTCAGTTCCTCAAATCACTGTCTCATCAGCATCGCCGGGTACAAGTGCACAAATGAGTTCTCCACTGGGTTCTCTAAAATCTCCCTCCTCATTGCTGTCCCCAATGGCTGCTTCCTCTCCTCCAGTCACCACGACAACCAGCTCTCCGGAAACGGATGACTCCCCAAAATCTGATGGCAGGGGACCCAGAATCAAGCATGTGTGTCGAAAGGCAGCAGTGGTCCTTGGAAAACCAGTCGCCAAATTTCCCAAATCTCCCGAGATTACACTTAGTGCACTGCCAAGTGGGGAAAAGGTCAAATTATGGAAGAAGGATCAAGAGGACAAGAAAGGTAGGAATTCTTGAGATTTCTCTCTTGCTCTATCTATCTTTCTCTCTCTCTCTCTCTCTGACCAAATTAAGAAGTTTTTTTGCTTTCTTAAAATGCCATGAGTTTCTAATATACAGTGATATACAGATTTAACAATCACATTTGTATTGAAATTGGACTTGTATGCATAGCAAAGTAATTTTCATTCCCCAAAGTTTATAAATGTGAACTGAATGGAGAAGTATAGCATATTACATTTATAAGAAATCAAACTTATTCCCTGTTACTTTGATATAAGCTTGTTCTGTAATTTTATGCCCTGACTCCTCCTCTTTATTTTCTTCCAACAGAATTGTCGGATGATGAACTGCCAATGGAGGACATCATACAGCAATCGGAGGACAACCCTCAATCTGTCAAGAAGACGCCAGTCCGTTCCCCGCTAAAAGTTTACCGAGGTGGTCGCTACGGAAAACGAAAGATCCGCTGCAAGAAATGTGAGGGCTGTACCTCGGAAGATTGTGGTGTTTGCAATTATTGTCTGTATGTAAATTTCAGTCACCCTCTTCCATTATGGGCAGATGGGCACCTGGGCTTTCAGAACTGCATTTGGCCTTTTAAGGACCAGTGACAATAAATATTTTTCCCATGGTAAAGTGGGTATGCTAGGACCTAGACTCTGTCAAAAATCTGTTTTCTTATTCTAGTATTAATCTGCTTTTCTTTCCTTTCTAAATTCATATTCAAGTTTTCCCATGCTTTTCTTCTGAATGAAAGTATTCTGAGAATAAGATATCCTTCATAGGCAAAATGCAGTTAATGTATATCCGTGATCATAAAAAAAACAACATGTACATTTATGGGGTAAATGTTCCATATACATGTATTTAAGCATTTATTTTAATGAGAATGATACTGGGAGATGGTGACATACCCCAAAGATTACAGATTTCTTTCTATCACATTTTTAAAAGCAAACACACAATATTTCAATTAATTGTAAAGTGCTGTTATTTCGTTCAATGGAATTTAATTTGTGTGCTAATCATGTCCATTCATCAGTTCATACTCTGACTATTTCTCTGTTTTTATGCAGCGATAAGCCCAAGTTTGGAGGGAGAGGAGTCATGAAGCAGGCATGCATGTAAAGAAGCCATTTGTATTTAAGTTTTTTCCCTTTCCAATTTTACAATCTTGTTCAGTGCAATTTTATTCTGAAAGATAATGTGAAACGTGGTAGGAATGATCCTCAAATTATTTTTTGTGCAGACAAAGACGCTGTAAATACCCCCGCTATAGTCGCTTGGGGCCTGGTGCTCAGATGAGGGCCAGGGAGTCGGACAATCAGAGTGAAGGGTCAGCATCCAGTCCTTATAAGGACACCTCCTCACCTGGCCCGACACAGCAAGGTCAGTATTGTACTGGTAAGTGGTGGTGGTGGTGGGGGGGGGTGAATAAATCGTGTAAACCTTGCATGAATTTTAAACAAATGTTGACTGATTTGGGAACTACTGGAAAACACAGGTGGGAAGCTGCAAGGGGAAAACCATGTAAGTGATGTTACCCCACCTCTGTTGATTTTTCCGTGAAATCCTGGCTTATGATTGGTTGAAGTCTGTCATGTGAAGGAGGTGGATTACTTATACCCGGTCAGTTGTAAATCAATACCCGGTCGATGTATGACTTAACAAACATAACGTGACGTCATAATAGGCACAGTATGAGCGTGATGAAGCATTTAGCAGAGAAAATCAATTATAAACCACAGATAAAACGTAAATGTTTCATCGGTGGGGTAAATTCGTTACATAGTGTTTTAGTGACAGGGTATGGGATGATACCTGGTTAGCAAATTTCATACCTGCCTCAGCTCCTCCTCGCCAGGTATGAAATTTACTAACCAGGTATCATCCCATACCCTGTCACTAAAACACTATGTAACTAATATAACATCCCTTGTTTTCTATTACACTTTACAATAAATAAGTACATGTAAGTTGTTTAATTACAGAGGAAATAAGCTCAAAGATAGCAAAAAAAAAATGCTGCGCCGCAAAATGCATACATTTTTAATCAAGTATTGCATCTTTTTAAAGTTGTGTTCAACACATTTTTTGTGTGATATACAGTGATTATACACTGCATCAAACCTACTGTAACTAATTTGAAAATAGGAGCTACCTCAAAGAATGAAGGTTATTTAAATCTGTTTCAATTTTGATAAAGATTTTCTGTATCAACAGAATACCCGGTAAACATTATGAAAAACAAAGAAAAGGAAAAAATTAGAATCCATATTTTGAACCTTTTTTTGATATTGGACCATTATTCTAATTTTACAATATGTATAAAAGAAGAAAAGCCAGAGAGTGGGGTACACAGGGATCAAGTGATTGCAGCTCAGCTTGTTGGAAACTTGTTCATACATTCACATTATGTTCAAGTTTCAACAGTTATTGCTAATCAGATTTTCCCCTGAGATGCATATGAATAGTTTGCCTACATCCATGAATTATGAAATTCAGCCATCTTCGCACTCGCAACAAAACAGTAAAACAGACTAGGTGAATTTATGGTCATCTTCCATTATATTGAAGGACGAATATCATAAAATTAACATAAAAAAAAACATGAAAACAGTTTTGATCTTGACTTTTTTCTGCCATATTTCAACTGAAAGCAAAAAATGGGCATTGGCAGTCGATTGCAAAGTTCTTTGCCAATATTCTCAGTTTTCTAATTCAGAAAACACATCAAGCTATGTCAAGAGTTGAAAACATAGCCAAGATTGCCAATGTAACAGGGAAATGGGGAAATACAATGGATAGGAAAATGTGTGAGTGAAATAAAATTAGAGGCATTCAACGGTGTTTTTTGTTATTTTTTACCATACACAAAATATGTTATAAAGAAAACAGAGTTATTTACTCTTGCTGGAAAAGAATCACATGTAGGAGTTGCCTCCCTTCAATAATGGCAGCCTCCATGGATGTTGTGGAGGGAAATTGTCTTTTTGAGAAAATGTTGACATTTTAGTTTTTGTTGGGACTAATTTTGAATGTTTTTGGAGTTTTCTTACATTTTACCTTCGTTATATTGAAATTTTAAGTTGTGACAGTGATTTGTATTCTATGGAAAGCAAACCAGCTAAGCGATCTAGAGCTAAAAGAGGTGGTTCCAAGCACGGTAATGGTAAATCCGAGACAGAGTTAATTGTCTCATTTAATGTCATGACTCTGATTTATTAAATTCATTATAAGTAGATTATCTGATCAATTTAATATAAATAACACACCTCGCAGTGTCATTCTAAGGTAGAAAAAGACAAACCATGAAATTTAGTAGGTCACGAATGGAAACTAGGACTAGGAGCTGAATGAAGTTTTTAAAAATGTTTTAAGCTTATACTCAATGCAAGAACGTTTGAACCAATAACTAGGGTATGCAGTGCAACAGTGTATAGTTTGTGATATATAGTTCAAATCTACTTTCATTTTCACTTGAGCATAAAGTAAACTGTTAAAAATCATGCATGCTTGAAAAAAAGTTAAATAAAAGGAAGTTTATACAGAAAATTTAATAAAACTTCATGTATGCATGTTTACAAAATAGAATACTAGTAATGAATTAATTTGGGCAAATATTTATATTGATAATTTTTTTTAATATTGCAGGACTATCTCAAAATGATACCTCGAAAGGAACATCAAATAGAAACTCCTCTCTCAGTGTTATTCAAAGAATGGCATTACAAGGAAAAAGACTTGTCAATGCCAATAAACTCAATAATGACAAATCAAGTCAACCTTTCTCTGAAGTCCTCACCCCAGAGGACGTTAGCAGGCGACTTTGGCAAGAATTTGGACATGCCCCACAAGTTTCATTTCCAAAGTTTCAGTCCTCTTCATTTGGAGAAGGCACCAGATCTCAAAATTCTACTCAACCCAAGAGAATGATCACTAAGTTCAAGGCAAGGATCCATTTTTTTTTTCTTTGAAGACTTTATTCACTCATGTTATAAAGTCCTTCAAAATTTTATCAGAATTCTGTGAGAGTCGTCCATAAAAGGATTAACTTGTTAAATTCTCTGTTATTTTACATATGGTTTTATTGTAAAAGGTACAGGTATGTGTAAATATTGAAATGACTTGACTTGTTCTTTCTAATTTTGGATTAATATATCTTTGTCCTCTATTTTCAGGGACCCGAGGTTAAATCAGACACCATGATATTGCACTCTGTGACTACAGCTGGAGGGTGGTCAGCTCAGGGCATTACACAACACCGGATCAAAGCAGAGTATAGGGTACAAGTTTGAAACAATCATTCAAGGCTGAACTTGATATATGTTAAATGTTGTGAATCATGAAAAATTTAGAACTTTTAAAAATCATGGCTCATGGAAATATATATTTTTATTTCGAAATATTCATCACATTCCAACTTCACTCTGGTTTTAATAAAATATCTTTCAAAAATGAAATCCCAAAAATAAAACTGAAACAAGAGTAATGGGGCAGAGATTATGACTGCAAACTATCTTTAAAACTAGGAGAAGGAAGGTTTTCATGGGTTGAAAATTTTTAGAAGGATATGCTTTACTTATGGATTTTATATTGAGAACGGGGTATATCATCCCAGAAATCATATACAGAAATAAAGAAATTGAAAATTCATCAACATTTGCTTTTGCTTAAAAAAGTTTCTATTGAAGCTAAATTCATTTGAGGTACTTGTGCATATAACATTTATTTTGAATGTTCATAATGATTTTACAGTACATGCTGTATGCTTTCTTTGACAGGAGAATTTTGAGTTGACCAGTGTGTGGTATAGTGGAGTCTCGTTAACAGTCTCAGGTCCAATGTGTGTTCGCGTCATCTGTTTTCTGTGTGGAAGTGCTGGAAAACATGAGGTAAAATGAATGTTAAATTTCTACACCTGAACAATTCAGAATGTATGAGAATATTTTGAATTTCTTCAAATATTTGTGTCTAATGTAAAACCGTTAAATTGTAAGCAATGCAATGAGAATTGTGCATTGTACATGAGAATCTCATGAACTTGTTACAACCTACTCCAATATTTGGCATATTTTTCTAATACAATAATTTTGAAATTAAATGCAGTGAGAATTGTGTATTTTAGATGTTGTACTGTAACGTATGTTGTGAACCATTCCATGAGTTTTGTTTGGAGGAGGAGGAGAGACCTCATGAGATTAACCCTGACAACTGGTGCTGCAAGAGATGCCAGTTCTGTAATGTCTGTGGGCGACAAAACAATGTGAGTCCTTAGATGGTTTTTCAGATATTATCCATTGTATAACTGAAAAATGGAATATATAATTATATGAATGTATATTGCAATTAATTTTAAGCTTAAAATTCTGATAAATCTATGTTTTGTAGTCATTCTTAAATTGTAAAATTTTGAAATCTTTTTCAAAATGACCAATGATAAATATTTACATTACAGCTATTGCAATGTGACAAGTGTCAGAATACCTATCATCCAGAATGCCTGGGTCCAAACTATCCAACGAAACCTTCAAAGAAGAAAAACATCTGGGTAATTTTGTTTTCATGCAGTGCAAGAATGTACAGAAAATAAATCTGAGTACATCTTTAATGAAAAGAATTTTCTGAAGTATTTCTGTGGATTTGTTGTGAACTTTGTCCTATAATTGGTTTTGAACTTTCCCCCAGATATGTACAAAGTGTGTGAAGTGTAAGAGTTGCGGGGCCACCACACCAGGCTCAGGATCAGCAGCAACATGGACATACGACTTCCAGCTGTGTTATGAATGTGGTCAACTGATGGACAAAGGTAGGCATTTAGATTCTATAATCTTGGTCTTTTTAACTAACCTTTTCAATTTTGCTGCAATGTAAAGAGATATCTTTATTAAAAGGGTCTTGAAAGTTTATTGTTGATTTTCGAAGTATGATAGACTTCTTGCTTTCGATGGTAAAATTCAAGAAAAGGTTGTTCTTTTGTTGCAGGAAATTATTGCCCCATTTGTCACAAATGCTACACAGATGATGACTGGGACAGTAAGATGGTTCAGTGTGTGTCGTGTGAGAGCTGGGTCCATGCCAGGTGTGAAGGACTCTCAGGTACGTCAACCCATGATCTCTTGTTTATTTCATTTAAATGTAACATATGGTTAACATTTGTTTATCAAAATACAACATGTTTCTTATACTTGATCTTGGTTTTCAATAGATGAAATGTATGAGCGTGTGTCCGTCCTCCCAGAAGATGTACATTACATCTGTAAGATCTGTTCCCCGAAGGGACCCAGGCACTGGGAGTTAGTTCTGAAAGACTCATTTATGGACGGTCTGAAGTCTGTCTTTAACACGGTCACTCAGGCCAAGTGTGCCCAGCACCTGTTACACATAGATGAGAAGGTATGTAAACTTTTTAATGACAGTTTATTGTTTCAAATGTTTGCATTCCAAAAAATAAGTACAAATGGTAAATTTATCAAACCATAAAGTGTATTGTTGTGAAAAAGTATCAATTTAGCTCCTCTTTATCACAGGCCGAAGAAAGCCTTCGTAGCAAAAGTTTTTCCAGAATTTGATATTTCATCTCTTTTTGATTCATCTGTTTTTGACTGTTGCAGTAAAGTGATCATCCTACATTACTGTAGTTTTCATTGCATTTGACGAAACTTTGTAAATAAATTAATAACTTTAAATTAAATTTGCGCTTGGTTTACAGAAAGCAAAGGAGCTAGAAGATAAACTAAATGAAGAGAAATATGGAAGTGCATTGAAAACCACCATTGAGTTAGAAAAAAGCCTTGAAAACTTTGTGAATTCTCTGGAAAAAGTCTTAAAAAGTAAGAACAAAGCTGGTGCCATTGAGCAACAACAAGAAGCTGAAGAAAAAAACACAGAGAAAGGACCCTCTGTGGTAGAGCTGGTGGATGGGGACAAAAAGAATGAAAAGCCAGTGGAGGATAATGATAAGGACGACAGTTTGATTCGATTTGAAGGGGATGAAGATTTAGATGAAACCAAGTCCTCGAATGGGGAACAACAATCCGATGTGGAAATGACCGAGGTCTTAAACGATAGTGACACAATCTCAATAGCTGATGGAGAGACACTGTCTGCAGTGACCACACCTGGTGTTTCAAGGGGGGTCACTCCAGCAGGATCCCCCGAGGCTGGGTCAGAGGGGATGGAGGAATTACCTCCCCCTCCTGAAGTTTCTGAAGACCTGCCTCAAAAGTTAAGAGATGTAGAAGCTGGTGTAGAAAGTGGAACTATGGAGAATATTCCTAAAATCACTATGCTTCTAAGTGAAGAAAAAGATGAAGTGGATGGTTCAAAGAAAGAAAACTGTGAGGCAGTTGTGAGTACTGTTGATAGTAAAGAGAGAGAACAGACAGACGTGCCAATTTCTGTTGATGTTGAAATGGAGGACAAAACTGAATCTCATTCTAATGTCTGTGATAATGAAAATTCTGCAACCAGTCCGAAATTACCAAGTGACGATCAAAATATTAACTTACTAGACAAGGAAATCAAGCAAGAGCAAATCGAGGAAAATTTGCAAGGTAATTCAAGCGAAGGACAAAGTGCGACAAAGACAACTAATGATGTCGTTGATTTAACTGTGGAGAAGAGTGTATCTTTCTTGTTATCAACTCCAACCAAAGGTTTGATCACACCAAAAAAGTGTTCTTCTATGACAGACAATCGATTTTTACCTGGATTCATTAGAGCTTACCCAAAAGACTTCAATGCAGTGAAAATTAAATTAATTAACGAGGAGTATTCATCAGTGGTAAGTTTTTTATGCTGTTTTGGTTGTCTTTAATAAAATTTTCCATTCAAATGAATTTTTCAGAGATTGGGAGACAATTTTTGTGATGTTTTTTTTTTTTTTTAATTAATATTTTAAGTTTCATTGATCTAAACATTTCTGGATTACAGAATGAATTCAGTGAGGACATGGCTCACATCATCAATCTAGCTTTAAATGACCCAGACGAAGTGAAACTGGTGAGAAAGAAAGCAACCAATTCTGTCCGCTCCATGTTTGTAAAGGTAAGTTCACAATGTCATTTAATCAACCATACCAAATAGATTTTGATTCTTATAAAACTGTACTTCAAAGAAATGCAATTTTCTTTCATTATTTTCAGCAAATGGAAAAATGTTTCCCATGGTTCAATGTGAAAGCCTGTCAGATTTGGGATCAAAACCAGAATTTTCCACCGTAAGCATTGTCTTTTCATATGGTCTCTGTTCACTAAGAGTTGTATTTTGAAATGTGTTCTACATGCTCAAAAAGATATTTGTATACTTTATTTTTATATTGATTTCAAACTCCATGTCAATCCAAAATTATTCTGTTTTCTGGAAGAGGGAGAAAGCATAAACAAAACTTTTTTATACCCCCCGCAAACGAAGAGGGACATTAGAATCTACTACTCCACACTATGATTGCTCATGACCTAAGGGTGTGTCATGACCTTGACCCAAGGTCATTCGGGGAAGTTCAAGGTCACTGGAAGAAAAATTTCACTTTGTGTCTCGGTCCATGGTTCTTATGGATAAACTTGGTAGGTTCTCATTTCACACAAAGATTGCCCATAACCCTGTGTCATGACCTTCAAAAGATCATTTGGGAAAGTTGAAGGTCACTGGAAGAAAATTTTCATAAATCATGTTTAATACATATCTTTGCTTTGAATTTTTGGTTCTCATTTTACACAACAATTTTTTAACCCAAGGATGTTTTTTGACCTTGACCCAAGGTCATTTGGGCATTTCAAGGTTATTGATAAAAAAAAATATTCTGTCCAGTCCATATTTTTCAGATATGTTAAATGAAGGTTCTCATTTTACACAAAGATTGCTGATAAATGTGTCATGACTGCCATGGTGTTTATCACTGGATTATTTATTTTGAGTCAACATTTAAACTAGTCAATACACAAAATTGCCCATGACCCAATTGTGTCATGACCTTTAAAAAGGTCAATTAATAAGGTCACTGGTAAAAAATTTCATAATTTGTGTCTCATCCTAATTTGCCAAAAAACTTGGTAGGTTCTCATTTCACACAAAGATTTTTTATTTGTTTATAATTGTTAATTTATATATAGGTCACTGGTAGAAAAATTTCAACAAAACAATCCGGTTGGTAGGTTCTCTTTCACACAAAGATTAATGACAAGGGTGTGTCATGACCTAGATTTAAAGGTCTTTTCATATTCTTTTAAATATTTAAAGAAAATTTTTGCTTTAAAAGTTAAATATTTAGGTTGTTAATTCACACAAAGATTATCCATGACACATGTGTCATGACACCCAAGGTCATTTGAGGTGGGGTCACTGGTAGAAAATTGTGTATGCGGTCCACATCTTATTTTGCAAAATCTATATACACATGTTCTAATGACCCAAGGGTGTGTCATGACCTTGAAAATTTGGGGAAGTTCTCTTAGAAAAATTTCATAATTCGTGTCTGGTCCATTTTTTTTTATTAAACTTGGTAGGTTCACACACTGAAAGATTGCCCATATAAGGGTGTGTCTTTGACCCAGGTTATTTTTAAGTTCAAGGTCACTGGAATCTTCTCATAATTTGTTTTTGATACATGATCTTTATTATATGTGTTTATGAAAAACCCATTTTTTCTTCTCTGACAGTCTCTAGTTTTGAATGTAAATATCTCTTTTCCTAGGGGTATGTTACATTTATGCAATTACCTTTTTGAGGACCACACTTTTGCTCAATGGTTCAAATGGCGTTTTTGCTACAACCCTCACCATTCAAAAGAGTGGGAAACACCCCCATCAAGAAAATCATACCTCTACGTGAGTATTTGGATTACTTTGCAGTAAATGATTTAATTCAGTTTGGAAAAAGCAAGTGTCTTGACCTTAATTCCAGGGTCCTTGAATTAAAATACATGAAAATACCCAAAAATTGATTTCAAATAAAAAATCTTGGCCAAGTCTGGATAAATGTTTACTGCCATGGAGATCATTTATGATTTATTTGGAGTCAACATTTCATAGTCAATGGCAAAATTGGAAATTTTCAATTTAAAAAGCAATTAATAAAAGAGTATAGGAATTTTTCTTGATTTGGGAATTGTTTGACAATTGCTTATTTTCATTCCATACAACCCTAGATAAAACCTTATTTATGTGAAATGTATAAAAATTTTGTAGCATAAATGTGTTTTGACTGTTACCTCAGTTGCAAAATTTATGTTTTAGCCATTGATGAAGACGCAGAAAAAGTCTTGTCATGTGACTTGGAGGAATCCGGTGAAGACATTAGACGATGCATTCTCTGTTGGCACTATGGAGATTCTGATCCTAATGTAAGATCAGGAAAATGCTCAATCATGTATTCATGTTTATCAATCTGAAATTGAATTAAAAGTTTTGAAGTTCAAATTCAAATTTTTTTCTTGCAGGATGCTGGGCGACTACTGTATGTTGGTCAAGATGATTGGGTACATGTGAACTGTGCTTTGTGGTCAGCGGAAGTGTACGAAGAAGAGCATGATGGGACATTACAGAATGTTCAGACAGCTCTGTCAAGAGGGAGAGTCATGGTAAATGTGGCTGAAAAAAATTCATCTGAACATTTAGACATCTTTATAAATATATGCATACAGGCTCTACATGTATATACTTAACCCAGAAATCTCTGAATAAATATCTTCTTTTTCCCCTTAAGCGCTGTGACAGTTGCCAGCGGGCGGGAGCTACAGTGGGGTGTTGTACAAGAGGCTGCCCTGCTAACTACCACTTCATGTGTGCTCGTCAGGAACTCTGTCTCTTCCAGGAGGACAAGAAGGTGTTCTGTCCTCAGCACAGAGAGAAGGTGGATGGAGAGGTGAGTATCAAAGGGCAACATACAAACACCCATAAATATTATTTTGCAAATTCAATCCTGTAAACAGAAAGAAGGGGGGGGTGTATACTATGGGAATAACAGCATTTATAAGTTACATTGTAAGTTAAATTGAAGCACTTTCAATACATGCATGTCTTGGATATTTTGGCAAATACATTTTTTAAGGCAACCTTTTTCAGGTAGTTCTCATGTACCATGCTTTGACTTAAACCAGCTATAGTTTAATAATCTCTTGTTTTCCAGCTGGTTGCTAAGGAGAAGTTTGCAGTCAACAGAAGAGTATGTGTGTCAATGGAAGATCTCAAATTTAATAAGAAAACCTGGTCAAAAGGCTTGGATCCATCCAACATCAGTGTCATTATTGGTATGTTTATGAAATATTCTTTAGTTGCACAGGAAAACAAAATTCTTAAGGGATGGCACGAAAGATATTTATACATGAAATTGGTCCTACAGATAAAACTCTCTTGGTGACATGTTCATTTTTAAACACGGTTCAAATTTTTGAGAATACTAAATGCAGTTATATGTATGAACTTTTGATTCTAGGTTCTTGTACTGTTGAAGAATTAGGCAGATTATCACCTATCTCTGATACTAAAGAACTACTTTTACCCATTGAATTCAGGTAAGGGAGTACTACAATGAACTTTTAGAATAATTTAAGGTAGAAACTTGTATTGATGTACTGGTACATGTATTAAAAATTTAATATGTATTTTTTTTTTTCAGTTGTACTCGGGTGTTTTGGAGCACACAGGACATCAGAAAGCGATGTGTCTACACGTGTCAGATCATAGAAGTAAAACCAGACAGTCCAAAAGGTGCCTCCATGGTGATTAAGGACACCACCATTATCCATGATGAAACTCATCCGGATTTTGTGCCCCTGTCTCAGATCAACCTGCCAGGGATTAACCTCTTCCCTGAGAAAAGGTCAAGGACAGAGAGTCTCGAGATAAGTCACCTCAGCAGTGAGTCAGGGTTTTCCAAGAGCTTTGATTCATCGGGTGATTGTGAAATACTCAATAGCACCATGAATGTCAGTCAGAACGTTAGTGATTTTGACAATAGCAAAGATTCTTTGAGTTCCTCTTGGCCAATTGTGAGAAAGCGGAAAAAAAGTGATTCGTGTGTGAATCTTGGTGTACTTTCACCTAATACTCTTAAGCTCTTGAACTTGAAAGATCCTGAGAAATTCCAACAGACAGCAAAGCCATGTAAAAAGGATAAAGAGGATTTTGAAACTTTGATCAAAATTGCTGACAGATTAAATATGGCAGCCGTTGGGAAGAAAGACAAGGCCAAAGCCTTCCCTCAGAGACAGAGGTCAAGGTCGGTGGATCGTCTGTTGTCTCCACCACCTGTTCGGTTTTCCCCATCATTTAGGTCTGAAGGTCATCAGAGTGCTGGGAACTCGAGATCTAATTCCAGAGCAAATTCAGAGGAAAGAACATTTTCTCCAATACCTACCATGTCCTTAGAAAAACAACTGGCTATGAACAAAGAAGTGACGTCAGTGAAGCCTCTTATTGACAATAACTGTAACTCCCAGGTGACTGATCTGAATAAAGCAGACGTTACGGGAGAAATTGCAGAAGATAGATCATCACAAGGACCAGAAGGGGGCCTGGAGCCCATTAATGAAGAAGGAAACCCTGAAGCAGATCTTTCAAATGAGACCTACGTTGTTCTACCAGAAGGTTGCTCTGAGCTTTCAGATGAAGACATGCAGATGATAGCCGAGGCAATAGAAAGAAGTAGGCCTGAACAAGGCACTGATGAAAGTATGATGTCAGTGGAATCAACAGAGGAACCTAGTGGTAAAGTTGACAAGGAAAAATCTGACAGAGATGTAGATATTGAAGTGTCTGCAGCTGAAACAGAGTCATCTTCAAAGGAAGTCCAGCAGAATTTGTCAGGTACAACTGATAGTGAGAAAGTAGTGGACGAGGCACCTGAAAGAATGCAAATTGACTCTTCCTCTGAAAAAGACGATGTAAAAATGGGAGTAGCTACAGATATTACAGAAACAACTGAAAATGGAAATCAAATCCATTCTACTGTGTGTACTGATAGTAAAGGTTCCGATTCAGAATTATTGGCAAAAACTGACATTTTACCAATGGCTTCCAATGATGAAAAAGGTTGTGATAAAACAGAATTGGTAAACCAAGTAAAAGAACCTCAAGAACAAATGGACATCTCCAAAGACTCAGATAAAGCTAAACAAAGTACTCTCTCTGATGTTAACACCACTAGCAAAGGTACAAGTATTACGTCAGAACAGGAAGTTTGGAAACCATCAACATCTAACGTGTTTAGTGAGGAGTTAGGTTCCACAGAAGTTGAGGAGAAAGTTTCAGAAGGAGGATCACAATCATGTCCTATAGATGTCTGTGAGGCTAGTATAAAGAAAATGGAAATGGAAATGGTAAGGAAACTATATCAAAGCATTCAAATGTGCAATCGGTAAAATGTGAGACTATTTCATTTAACTGTATGTTCTTTAAACTCTGGTTTATTTTTTAAGGCTGTTGATATTTCCAAAGAGTCAGAAGTTATGTCTAGTCTTGCATCAAGTTCAAGAGAGATATATGTTACTAAAGGTATGAAAGAATTACATATGATCTGCATTAAATATTAGTAAAATTGATATTTGAGGGCTTTTATACAACTTGAAATATATGGAGATAACAAACAGTATTCAAGCTCAAAGGTCCATTCAAACTATTACAAATCAGGAGCAGGGCAATTTCAAACCTCTTAAAGGTGCCCTGGAGGAGTGAACATCCCCTGCCAACCAATCACACTTGTTGTGCTTCACGTATCTTTCATTATTGTGTGAAAGTCTCGTGGTTTTATTTGTTTTGAACAATATTTTTTAAATCCATCAGAAAATCTTGACAAAATTGGGTTTCATGGTTTTAATTGTTTTGAACAATATTTGTAGATTCATCAGAAAATCTTGACAAAGTTGGTACACAGACTTCTGATGAGTCATTAAAAGGAGGTGCTAATGTCCAATCAATGAGTCCACCTGCACTCCACTCAGTTCAGCAGAGGTCAGGAGAAAATGTGAACATTGGTACGACAAGAAGGGATAATAAAATTCCTGTCTATGGTCGTGAGGGCCATCTTATAGGATACAGAACACCCAACAAATCAAGTTTAGAACATCAAGAACTTAGAAGGCTACATCTCACTCGAAAGCCAACTTTTGAGGAAATTTTGAACGAGGCTCAAAGACAATTACTGGAAGAAAGAAATAAAACACACTCCAAAATGGAGGAAATCAACAAATTTCAGCCAATTGAATCTGCAGAAAAGAGTTGTATTCCCGCCAGTGTTGGGAGCATCAGTGATAAACAAGAAGATGATCTACATGATGATATGGAACATCAACCCGAGTCAGTGGAGAGCAAGTTAGAGAAGAGTGAGACAGGGGAGCATAGGGAGAGCAAAACAGTTGAGGATAAGACAGTGGAAATGAATGAGAGCCAGACAGCAGAGAGCAGGATGATAGAGAGCAAAACAGTGGAGAGTAAGGAGAGCGAAATTGTAGACAGCAAGACAGAGGAGAGCAAAACGGAAGACAATCTAAACAAAAGTTTGTCTAGTGAGAGAAATATATTTGACATAATGTCTTCAAACACAGAGGAGCCTAAAGGTACAATTTTGAAACTGACTGATGCAATTGAAACCAATACAAACCCTGACACAGAGGAGAGGGAGACTGAAATTCAGAAAGAAAACATGGATGGAATTTCTGGACCAAAGGATTCATCAGAAAGTGAAATACAAATTCCCTCAAGGAGACAATCCTCTGAAAGTGATAAAGATAGAAATATTTTTACTGCACTTGAATCTTCATTCAATTCCAGTAAAGGACATGACTCTTCAGATATTGATGTGGGATCTGTGCAAGATAACTACATTCCTGATACAAGGACGGAAGAGGAGAAAAACAATCTCTTTAAAGGTTTAGGATTAGCTCGTACCCCAGAGGCTAAAAAAGCAAAAGCTGAGTTGAAGAAAACTCCAGTCAAAAGTTACCCTCTCCGTCGGCGAAGTGCACAGGGTGGGACTGCATCAGAAGACAAGAAAAATGATCTGCCATTACATGATCAAATTGCTCAGAAAATCAAAGCAGAAAGCTTAGCCAAGAGCAGTCCTGGGGATAAAGGCCCATTTAAATGCCCTACGTGTAAGAGACTCTATCGCACAGTGGAGAGCTTTGATACTCATGTGGAGACTTGTGATTTTGAGGTCAGTACAAGTGATGAAGAGGAAGAAAGTGAGAATGAGGGAGGGACCAGAAAGTACTCCATGAGGCAGACGACGGTTGTCAAAAAGGTTGTAATGGAGATTGAGCAAAAGGAAAGGGAATCTGAAAGTGCAGCAAGGAAAGAAAAGATCCTTTCAACGAAGCCCTTATACAAAAAACCCAGGCTGATTCTGCACAAATTGTCACCAAGGAAGATTCAACAGGGGAATATAAAGCTGTCACCAAGGAAAAGAGGAAGACCCCCTAAAACTGAGAGTAAAGATGTTTCTGTGAAATCTGAATTGAAGGGCCAGAAACGTTTGCTTTCATCCGATGATGAGAAAAGCGGAACTGAAAATGAAAGAAAGAGAAGAATTTCAAGACATTCCTCAGGAGGCAGTGTATCATCAGTCAGGCACAGCAGAAGTTTATCTGGTGGAGTGAAAATGGTGGAAGATGTTAAGGTTGAAGAGGATGATGCTTCTCCAAAAAGAGGAAGAGGTAGACCCAGAAAGCAATTGCTCTCTCTGATGAAGATAAGAAGAAGGAAATAAAATCTGCTGTAAAGGAGCAAAGTGAAGAGAGTGATTTAAACCGATCCATATCTCCAAAGAGGGGAAGAGGAAGACCAAGGAGAAGTTCTCTACTGTCTGAAGAAGACATCAAACAGGAGATAATCTCTGATGAGTTGAACATTAAAGAAGAATCTATGTCTGAAGAATCTCCAAAATCAACAAGAGGTAGAGGGAGGCCTAAGAAGAAATCATCGGGTTCAGATGATGTGTCTTCAAGCAGTAAAAGTCAAACAAGGAGTACAAGACAAGCATCTAGTGAGCATGTGAGCAATGAGAGTAGTGCCGTTTCTCCCAAAACTCATAAACGTAATCAAGATAGAACTTCCAGTGGATCAGGAAAGGAGGAAGAATTCTCTGGAAGATCAAGAAAGGGTCTTGTCACTAGTAGTGATACTCTAAACAGGGAAACAAGGCTTAAAGATAAGACAGCTCTTACAAATGGAAGACCAGTTAGGTTGAAGAAGAAGGTCAATTTGGAATATCCAGGATTGTCTTCCTTAGCTTCCAAAAGAAATGCCATTTTGTCCAGAAAAATTCACTCCTTGAGGGACAGCAGAATCAAACAGCAGAAATTGAAACAAGTGATATCCATGCAAGGAAAGAAACTGGAAAGAATTGTTAATGAAAATGGAGTAAAAAGGGGAAGAGGCCGGCCACGAAAATATGAAGTAGAAAAAACAAGGAAATCAGAAGATGTGCAGAGTAAGGAAAAGAAAAATGAAAGAAGAAATACTGATGCTCATGAAAAGAAGGATGACACAGAAAAAGAGAAAAAAGAACCAAAAGATGCAAAGGACAGTAAAATGTCAGATAAGGATGAAGAAAATAATAAGAAGGAAAATCTTAAGGAAACAAAAGAGACACCAGGTAAAGATGTGAATACTGAATCAAGCAAGAGGCAGATAGCCAAGAAACGTAAGAGTAAAACTGACATTGAAAACTCAATTCTCAATGTGATTCAGCAGTCAAATACGTCAACTTTGCTGAAGTGTCCTGTGCAGCAAGTAACAACTATAACTGATTCAGAAATTATCACTATAAATGATGAAACATCAGAGGATGAAGTGATCTTTTGTGAGAAAACGGGAGATTTCCTGTCCAGGGGTGAAAAAAATGCTGCCAAAAGTTGTGAAACCCAGTGTGATTTTGATAGTGATTTGTCACCTCTTAAAACTGATATTAGTGTTGTGAGCACATCAAGTAGTTCACAGATCTCATCAACATCAAAAAATGTTCAGGCAGGAAATCAGAAAAGTCCTTCCAAATCAGAAACTGTCAGGGAAAAAACTTCTTCCATGCAAGAAACGGTATCAAAATCTACTCCGGCATCTTTAAGTGAAAAACAAAAAGATGCACTTGAACCAGATAAAAATGAAAAAACCAAAATGACGGAAAAAGCACCAGAAATTCACATGAACAAAGGGAAAGAAACTCCTATAGAAGATTTAGAGAAGGACACATCTAATGAAGATTTAGGAAAGAAAACATCAACAGAAAAATTTGTGGATCAAATTATGAATGACCCTGCCATTAAGCAGTTGACACCTGTTGAACTTTTAGAACTACAGAACAAAGTCACTGATAAAAAAGTGGATTTTTCTGCTCCAAGCAAGGTGGATACAGAAGCCACAATCAAAACCATAAAAGAATTTTTGAAAAAGAAAATAGAAGAAGGAACCAACAAGACCCTGTATGTGACAGATGCTGGAAATGTAGAAACTCAAGGCCAAAGTTCATCTGAACAGAAGAGTTTCTCTGAGCCAGTCTCTGTGATGAAAATAAACCTGCCCTCAAGTGTGACTCCTCAAGACATTAAGAAAATTATCGAGGCTCATAAGAGAGCCACTGGAACTCTCGGGAAGTCAGAGAGCAGTATAGGCATAACACCTATATCTAGATCCTCACCCTTACAGTCTCTGATGAGTCAGTCTACAACATCTATGTTAAGTTCCAAATCCACTTCCCCACAGTTCTGCCAAGCACAATCACAGCAAGTCAATCCAACAGTACAAACAAGTACGGTTTCTCCAAACCCTGTGATGCCACAGAGCTTTGGAATAACAGCTTCTCCCATGTCTGCAGCAAATGCTCTTCTAGCAGCAGCTAATGCCATCACTCCCTCTTCCAATCCAATACTCCCATCACCCTCTCCCATGATGTCACCCCAAAATGCCATCATGCCCTCTCCAAACACAGTGATCTCACAGTCACCCCCGAATCTTCCAGCCCTTAATCAGTTGCTACCATCTCATCCACCTGCCATCCAGCCTGCAGCTATAATATCTCAGAGTGCAATTTTACCTGTGGGACAGCAGTTGTCGATGATGTCTCCAAGTGCCATACTGCCCCAACAGCAGACTCCATTGGTCACAGGTGGTATTCAGGGACCATTGTATTCTGTCAGCAATAGCACTCCAGGGTATCAAGCCATATCTCCAGCAATCATGACCGTCCCAGAACCACCCAAGACTTACCTGCTTCCCCCAAATCAGAACTTAATAACTGTGCCACAAAGTCAGAATATATTGAATGTTCCTCAGAGTCAACTGATGACACCAAACATTCCTCAACAGTTGGACAGTTACATGCTTTCACTTGTGAACAATTCTGGGATCCGAGTCAGCCAGAGTTTACTTAATGCTGGTGTTTCTCCAGTGATGAACAGTACACAATTCGTGCAGAGTGTTCCGCAGGTGCAGAACATTACACCACTTCAAAATATTCCACATATTATTCAGAACATGGGATTTCAAAATAGTACTCAGCAAGGATTATTGCAGACACAATCAACAGCACAAAATCAAGGACCAGCCATTAAAACTGTACCTGTAAATAGTCAGTTACAATCATTTGTTCGTCCAAGTACTTCTCTTGTTGCTAGCAATCCTGTGCCATCTGTTAGCCTCCCACCATCAAATCCAACAATCGTTAGAGTATTTGTAGATGGAAAGCCAATAGCTATGACTACAGATGCATCTGTTCTGAATGATCCCACTTCATTTTTAGCAAAATTAGATCCAACAGCTCTTCAAAGAGGGAGGTACAATATGTCTATGACTTCCCATCGGGTCACTTCAACAACAACCTTAACAGTGTCTACCACGGGCAATACCACCAGTTTGAAAACTACCTGTTCTCCAACTACAGCAAACAAAGTATTGACTGCTTTACTCAAGTCTCGTACTAAAGTGGTGTCTGATTCAGCACTGCATACTTCTGTGACAACAAAGACTCCTAGAGGCAGGCCAGTAAAATCTACAATCCCATCTCCAAAAAAGACAATCTTCCGAAAACTAACAAAACCACTTACCTCCACGAGCACAGTTTCAACAATGGCATGTCTGTCTTCTGGTCCGTCACTTTCAACCAGTTCAATGGCTATACAGGCAGCTCCACACACTAGACTTCCACCAGCTATGGCACAGAACAGAAGCCTTTTACCAGCCTCATTTAAATCCCAGGGAGAAGATACAAAATCAGCAGCAAAAACAGTTCCAGTGATGAAAATTTCTAGCACACCAGAGATGGTTTTGAATAAACCATACGTTGTTCGCAAGGCAGATGGGACAATAGTCAAGAAGATCATTAAAACTGCACCCAAAGAAGACTTTGCCATTCAGCCAAAGGTCATGAAGGCAATAATGAAGAAACTGGGAGGTGACAAATCCCTTCCGATTTTAGGGAAACATGGCAAAGGTTACGAAATGTTATCTGTTCGAGTCAAGAGCAAGGCAGCTGTGAAAGCCAAGGAGAAGAGAAAGCGCCTTCGAAAGAGTCCTCAGAAAGTCCGAATGGGACTTCCACAACCTTCAGGTAAATTAACATTACCTAGCATTTAATAAATTTTTGACATTGAAAGCAACCTACAAAGATAAATTATACTAACTTCTCATCAAAAACAAACCTTAGCAAGATATTGATTGAAAGTATGAAGGTACATATAGAAGGCTTTGAAAGAGGTAGAGCCACTTTGGGCTATATTTGGCCCTGAGAATTTCTGAAAATTCAAAATCGCTCAGTTTAGGTTGCAAATGCAGTATTTATCACTTGAACTGTTGGTGACCACATATCTATTAATTTTGTGACGTAATTTCACATCTAGTCGATGCATTATGACGTCATAAAATGGGTCATTTTCCTCATATTCTGTAAATTCCTTTGAAAATGACCTAAAGATGAAGCGTTTTTTCAATATTTCATATAGAGCACAACCCCTGATCCAAAATATGCCAATACATAATGAAAGGCCTAATTCTGAAGATCAAAAAACATGTTTTATTTTTTGGATCGTGGGCTGTGCTCATATTTAAATTCTTTGCTGAAGGTAGTCAAATACGCATGTTTTCTGCAAATTTCAAGAACATTGCAATTTCTCAAAGCCTGTTTTCAAATATTTGGATTCTCAAAACGAAATTTCATTATAGAACATGAAAGCACCAAGTGTCTACTTTATTTTGATATATGTAAATGGAAAGAGGGTGATAGATAATTAATTGATATAAGTACAGGGCCATTTTATGCAAAAGATGGCTCTTGCTCTTTGACATTGAGGCTTATTGTAAATCTGACTTTCAGGTACTTTGAGTCACCCCATCATACACCCCCACAAAGAGCTAATGACCCTCCCTCAGCCTGCCCTTGAGGAAGAGGTGGAGGAGACTCCATATGGACAGTTTCAGCAGGAGCAGCAAGAGAAACAACTGGGAAAACACAAAAAGGATGGGCCCAAATTCCAGTTCAAGATCTCAAGTGATGATGGCTTCTCCTGCAAAGGGGACTCCATGGCAGGTTAGTGATCGGGAACAAATGATGATACTTCAGATTATGAGTGATAGTTGTGTTAGGATATACTTGTAGTGGAAAGTAGACGTCAGCTGTGTCTTATGTATTGAAAAGTCCATTTGAAAAAGATTATGAAAAGTCAGTTTTACCATGGATAATCTGTTTTGTTTTGTTTTTCCAGAGGTTTGGCAGCAAGTTATAGAGAGAGTTCAGGATTTGCGATCCTCAGCTAGAATGAAGCATCTGTCATTTACAAGTAAGCAGACATTGCTGTTCTTGGCAACAATTTTTCACACAGTGTTGTGTTTAGCATGTAATTAATTGACTGCCGTCATGAGAAAAGGGCCCTTATCTTTTGACGCCACAATGCTCAGAAAACGACGTCAAAGTCGCGGTATTGTAAACACGGAAGTAATTTTTGTTGACTGCATTTTGTATACAAGAAATAAAATTGAATTCAAGAATTTGAAACTTGATGCGGACATTTTTTAATAGGTTTTGATATTATTACAATTTCGTACTGAAATTTATTCATAATTTTGTTTAAGTATTCAACTTCATGTTGATATACGGGACATTGGACATGCCCATTCCTAGCTCTGGAACAGCGATTAAAATGATGTCTATAACATTGACTAAATTAAAGATGCTGCATATTTGTTTTCTTGGCAATTTACAAATGCTTAAATTTGAATTAATTTAAGGTACATTGATACTCTGATAAGAGAGATAACTCTAAATGACACAAATCTCTATTATTTCTTTATAAATTTGTCAAGTTGAAGTGCCTTTGATGTCAAATTTTGCCCTGCAAGCCATGATAAAATTGTTTGTATTTTATTTTGAATAATTATATTTTTCTTTTGGAAAATTATAAAAGTTAAAGTAACATTTTATATGAGTAAGCAGAGGGTTTATTAACCTTCATATTAAAAGGCATATTCCATATACATGTATATTTTTTTCCAGAGAGAGAGAGAGAGAGAGAGAGAGAGAGAGAGAGAGAGAGAGAGAGAGAGAGAGAAGGAAGGAGAGTGAGCGAGAGATCTATGCATATACTCAGTAGTAATTACCGTTCGTTTAAGCGCTACTTTTTTTCCTGAAAAATATATGCCATTTAAAACATATTTAGCCATTTTAATTTTAATCCATAGTTAATCATACTGATGTTCTCCGAAAGCAAGCCTTCTGTGAACTGTCGATTTTAAAATGTGTGTAAAAGAAATAAGAGAGTGAGGGGGGGGGGGGGGGGGGGTTAAGAAAACAAACCAAAAAAATCTCCGAATACAAAGACCGCGATTAAAGTTAAAGCTAAGAAACATAATCCGTCTTTGGTTGAATAAAGATACTGGTAACATGGGAGATCCAAACCTTCTTCATGAATATTAAATATTTACTAAATTAACAATAATATAATATGCTACGGAAAAAAATACGGAGGATGGGGCATCGTCGCAAACCACGGCCAAGATGTACGATCTTCTCCCATTCTGGTCGTGGTTGAATGAAGAAAATTTCTCGTAGTTCATTTAAATATTGACCAATGCGCGTAAAGCATAGTCGGATAATGAACTTTGATGTGACCTTTCAATATCCAATCGCAGTGTACGAAATACTGTAGATCACTTAATTTTCGCGACACTTTATTTTCGCGAGATAGACATTGACTCCTTATTAGCGAGACAAAATTTTCACGAATTGTGGTCATTGCTCTATGTAATCTTAAGGAATTCTATTATACGCGAGAATGAAATTTTCGCGAGCATACCGTCTCGCGTAATTACGCGAAAATAAAGTGATTTACAGTATTTCTTGAGTACTGCTGATGTCATTTGTTGATTTCAATTGCGGTAGAAACAAAACTTGTCATTCTCTGAATATGACGCCACAATAGAGATAAGAGGGTTAAATATTCAAAATTACGACACTTTTTGTGTTCAAGCAGCCACGGGTATAGAAAAGAGCTACATGTATATGCGGACTCTGAACGTAGCTTGAGACAATGAGGATGTCGATGCCACAAAAATTTTGCTACAATAAAATTTGTTTCAAAAACTAATTTAAAATGATCGAATAAATACATTCAAAGGAATTGTATTATAGAAATTACTATTGTTTCAAATTTCTGAAATTGTTCCGATGAAATGAATGAAAGAAATCCCACTAGAACCTGTATTGCAATATGTTAAAAAATAAACTACAGCTATCGTAGACTTTCCCCAAATGCATTATACTCAATGTTGAAGAAATTAACAATATTACATCGACAGTGATATTTTGAATGAGGATATTTGTAAACCAATTTTGTAAACCTTTTAAGGAAAAAAACCCACTATAGATTAAGCAAAAAGACGTACAAATTTCTGGCTGATACCAGATATATGGCTACATCTCTTGAGAATACATCGCTGATAGAGCAAAAAGTATAAGTGGCAAGTGGTTATGGGTGTAATTTCCAAAAGTAATGAAAATGTTTAAAATCTTTAAAAACTTTAATGAGCGTGAAATATGTATCACTGACTATTGAATTCATGATATGAAATAAATAAGTCACGTTTTATGTTGAAAACTTCAACTCTGATACATGTATTAAAATATCCTGCAAATCTCGACATTGATTTCTTAAAGTTCCGTTGAAATCGACATAAGACATTATATCATAATCCTAACATGACTCTACGGAAAGGAATTAATAAACAACCACAATTTTTTCTGTTTTAAAGAAAAATATTGGCCATTACAGTCTCATACATCATGTAGCAACGGTGTGGGGTGGAGGTGTTACATTGAAAGTCCGATTTCCCCCTACCGCCCCCCCGTTTCCCTCCACACACACACTTTTTGTTGCAGCAAAGTCAAATCCGTGCACTATAGGGCAAAAGAATAAGGCAGTGTATTATGTTTGATTAAGAAACTTTGATACGGAAAGAGGACTGAACCTAACCCCCCCCCCCCCACGACGAAATTGGATTCGAGTTTCGACCCCCTCCCCCTTTATTTTTGATTGGGCATTTTTTAAAGGTAAAATTTATTTATTTTTTTCTGCCCCCCCCCCCTTTCTTTCAAACGAATTGTGTGGGTACAGGCGAAAATACGAGTAGTTTTTTTTTATTTTGATATGTTTTGAAGTAATAACTAGGGAAAATGGTTTTCCTAAATATTTTAAGCGAAAGAGAGTCAAACTAGAGCGGTAATACTTAATTAACAGCATCGTCTCGTAGAAAAAGCATTAACGTAATATTTTATTATTGGATAAGACAATCGCATCGAAATGTGAAAAGTTGTTTAGCCATTGTCACGGAGGAATATGAAATAGACAACCTTTCATGGCCGTAAAAAAATTTGTTTTACTTGTCAATTTGAGGTATAAATTCAAAGAAAGTTTCAATTTAGGGTATTGTATATAAATAATTAATTTAATTGTCCTTTATTTGCCTATTTACTGAATACTACGTTTCTACTCCATAACTAAGACAGACGAAGGAAATGAATTGTTAAACAATGTAAACTTAGAGCTTTAAACATTTTTAATAAAATATTCAAAAACGTAAAAAAAAAATTAAAATCCACTTGCATGGAAGACGGGAACGTATAATTTTTTTCATGAATGTTTATAAAAGGAATAAAAAATTTTAAAAACAAATTTACATATCTTGACGTATCTAAATATATTTCTCAGTTATATTTTTCAGCCATACAGAAAATACATTTTTTTCTTTTTTTTATCGTAACAGTTATAGGGAATAAAGTTACGTGCGTATGTGTTGGTGAGTGAATGCTGTCTCATGAGATTTTTTTAATATCGGGATCGACGTGGTCTTTGCGAGGGGTGCCCCGTTTTGCGCGCGGTGTCCTTTTGCATGGAATTCTCTCTCTAAATAAATATTTCTTTTTATCTTTAAGTGTAACAAGTGTTTTATATATTTTATAAATTGAATTAGATTATTTTGTATAAAAAGAATTTGTATGGGTTAATTAAAACAAATATCATTTCCCTACCGATTATGTTATAAACCATTCTTAGATTCTATCTGCACCCCTTCCCCTTTTATGAAATTGCTAGATCTACTCTAAAATTAGCATGAAAATAGTAAAAACACATGAAATCCCTTAGGAATAGTTAAATACTAGTCGTTTGGAAGAAAAAAAATAATAAATGCTTTCTCAAGTTTTTAATTCTCAAAACGATTGAGGTAATTTAAATAACATGTGATTTTAATATTTTTTGAAAATTGAATTAGACGCAGGCGACGTCATTCCGTTTTCAGTGTGTAACGTCAAAGTTATTTTTGGAGAGCCTCACTAAAATACTCATAAAATACAGAAAAAGTGAGATATTTTCAAAATTTATGTATATTTGCATTCAGAAAGAGTCCGGCTATCAAAATTTACCAAAAAGTCAATTTATGAAAATTTGACCTTAAGGGCCCTTTTCTCGTGACGGCAGTCAATTTACATGTAGAACTACTATAAGTTGTCTAAACTTTTTTTGTACAATTTTGACTAGGTTTGGATCCTACCAGGTTGTTTGGCGTAAGTTATAACCCAGTTGTCTACTTAGTGGAACAGTTGTTTGGGGCCCAGAACTGTCGGAACTACAACTTCAAATACCATCAGTATGACATGGCTGATTTAGAAGAGGTAAGGCTTCTGCAAAGTCTCTGTGCAATGTTATACCATACATGTTAACTCTATCGATTTAGGCAGGAGTCTACCGCTTTTTCACTCCATCTCCCGCCTACCGCTTTTATTCATAAATCTACTGCTTTTCTACAAAAGTTTGGTCAAGAATATTTTTGGTTCGCTTGGGTGTCGATTTTGAAGCCACTCTTCATAAAATCTCATTAGATATCATGTGATTTGACCCAGAAGAATACAAACGCTTTTTTTTGTACCAATGTGTACATAGATTTCAAGCACATATTTGACAACGACAACACCACAAAACTCGGTGATTACATTGGTTACAATCTCATCACTTCCAAGGAAAAGGAGATATAGCATTCTAGAATTGGATGAAAACGTTTGACATCGTCTATAAAAGCACAGGTGCTCAAAATTTTATCAATAAAGTCAATAGAAATCCCTGGATTGACAAAGCCATGAGGCATTAGATAATCACGGAAAATCCACGCAGCACAGTTAAGGTTACAAATGGAAATATCGGCGATTTTTTAAGATAAAAAATACATACTTTATTAGGATGGGCGATTCTTTTTAGAAATTCACTGCTATCAAAAAAATGAAATGTGGTTTAAATCTACGTGTTGGGGACATTTAGATTTTTTATTTAGACTTTTCATGTGATGTCGACGTCACATGACTTTGGCAATTATACTTGCAGTTTAGAGGTCATCTATAAATTTCAATATTGCAAGGGCATAACCAAGTTAAAAATCTTAGTTTATTTTATAATCATTTTCAACACTATATGTAGTTTGTGAAAAGTGCTGCGAACCTATATAGATTCCCTTTTTTAATTGGTAAAATTTAATTTGTTGGACGGCAGGTTGAATATTTTGCTGGTCAACTACATTAAATATAGCTATAATTAATTTATTTGCAAGATTTCAAGAGGTTCGCAGCATTTTTCAAATATCTTAATGCTTCTTGAGTTTATGTGTAAAAATTTGACAAGATACATTGACCGTATGCCCTTGCAATAAATCGATTTATTAGGGCCCTTCGATTACTTTTTCATTGAATCTGCATACAAACACACGACAGTAACGTTTGTCTGGAGAATGCACGTACAGTTTATAAATAAAATACTAAAATAGACATCGCATCCAAGTTAACAGCATTTTATTTTACTGCAAATAATATTTTATTTGAGAATAAAACACATTTTTCATTGTACAAAATGTGACTTGATCAGCCTCTCACTGTGTACAAACTGCGTCATTGTTGCGAGATGACGTCACATTGACAAGTGCATTGCGATCGATGCATCGTTTGTATACTGTTGTGTGGGATTTAACAAACGACAAAACTGCATGTAATAGTAAGTGTGTCAGTGGTCTACAGCTATCCAGCAGTTTAAAATTGCAAATTATTTCATTTTGTGGTATTTTGAAGACCTTATTTTATGTGTGACGTCATAGTAAACATTTCCCGTACAAATTAGGCCCCGCCTCCTTACTGTAACCTTAACTGTGCTGCGCAGTTTATTTAACGAAAGATAGGAACTAGTTTTAGATTTGGATTAAACAATATTTCATCATCTGTTGTGTTGGACAGCAGTATGAACGTTCAGCATTATTGGTTCTAAGTGAAATCAATAAAGATGACAGTTCTAAAGGCTGTTGGGCAGTCAATCAAAGCAAAAGGATGAGCATGAAAAATATTTATATCTTGTAATTTATGTCAAACTCGAAGTGTTTCTATCTACTTCATTGCAGTTGATATTTGAGATTCATTATTGCATTGGTCATTTAAGGCCATATTTACATAATATACATCTTGGTAAACCCATGCATAAAACAGCGTGCACAATACTGCCTCTTTTGAGGTCTGAACCTCCCTATTTTTCATCAAAGTAGGTTATTATGTATGGTTAAACATGGATTGCATTTCAAGAGCTTGACCTGGATTAAACTTGCTTTTATTTAATGTCTGAAATGCACAAATATTTTTTATAGGAACCAGCTGAAAACCCTTCAGGCTGCATCAGATCGGAGCCTTTTGAGTCAAGGAAACCCTTTGACATTTTCAGCTTCCTCATGTCTCAGTATCGACACATGCCTGGTACCTGTGACAGCAAAAATGATGTTGAGATGGTTCACAAATCAGCGAGGTATTATGCATATATTTTCATGTATAAGATACTCTGTATTGATTTTTCAAATAAGTTTACAACATATACTTTTGAAGTTATCTGATTCCTTGTAAATTTCTATCTCTATATGCCAGTATGAGTAACAAGTCCACAAACACATCTAAGAGCACCAAAGTTAACATTTTCACATTTTATCTCTGGTATATTTTTTTAAGGAGCACTGTCGCTTACCTAGAGAAAAAGCTTTCAAATTTTCTCATTTAAATTTTATAATGGCATTTCTTGTTTATTTCCTGTCAAAATATTACAGTACTATAATTGAAAATTTTCTCTCATGGACTTCTTTTATCTTTGACTGGTATAAAACTACATAGTAAAAAAAGTAAATCTCGCACAATCTTCTACATTACATTTTCAGTGATTATTGCTCTAATCATTAGAAGTTGTTTGGAGTGTAGACTTTATAGCATTAACAATATATTTGCATCCCAATTTTGCAGACGAGCCACAAGCATGGATCTGCCCATGGCTATGAGATTCAGGAAACTGAAGGAACATTCAAGAGAAGCTGTTGGAGTTTACAGGTATACATGTACATTTATAAGTTCTTTTAATATCTTACTTTGGCTAAAAGTGAGCTTTTCTGAATTTTAAATTTTGTCATCCATCCATAAATTTTTCAAATGATAAATTTAAAAAAAAAAGGTGAACTGCATTTCCTATGTATACAAGCATTTACCCCCCCCCCCCACATTCAGGCTTACCTAGAACTCGTAATGCTTCAGTGAGCTCTTAAATTTTTACAGTATCTATTTCAATCCAAAGTTTAGAAGTCTGTTATGTTAATACCTTTATTTCAGGTCCCCCATACACGGCAGAGGGCTATTCTGTAAGAGGAATATAGACGAGGGCGAGATGGTGATAGAGTATGCAGGGGAGGTCATCAGAGCTTCTTTGACGGACAAGAGGGAGAAGTACTATGAAGGAAAGGTAAATATAAACAGATTTTCATATAGGAGTTATAGTAGTTTAAAATATAGAGAAAAAAGCATAAAGATTGAACAGAGAAATATTATTTGCTATTCCTGTGGGGGAAAAAAAGGATGTGTAGAAACGCAAAATTTACACAAAGAAAAAAAATTTGCTCTATTGCATGATTAAGAGGATATATATTTTAAGGGCCATTCAGCTTCAAAGATAAGTTATTATATTGTTATTTTGTGCTTGCAGTGACCTAAGTATTTAAAGATCTGCCTCTATTCCATTTCAGGGCATTGGTTGTTACATGTTTAGGATAGATGATTTTGATGTTATTGATGCCACGTTACATGGAAGTGCTGCCCGTTTTATAAACCACTCTTGTGAGGTAAATACAAGTAAATCTTTTCGAACAACATACAAGCTCAGGTTAAACATGTTTGTTTTCTATTGAAATACATGTATAACATTTCTCTTTCAGCCAAACTGCTATTCCAAGGTGATAAATGTGGACGGCAAGAAGCATATTGTGATATTTGCAATGACATCGTAAGTACAGTATATATATATAGTCTGAATACTTATGGTATATTTATTATTAAAGCTTTTTCATAATTTATGCACATTTAAATCTTGAACAAGTTGGGTGAAATTTTTTATTACCACAAAATCTTTTAGGGTCATATCGTGAACAAATGTGGTTAGATATTTAATATAATGCATTTTGTTTTTCAAGGACATTTGAAGTCTTGTATTTGAGAAACTTTTATTGAAAATTTCTTTTCATCGTAATCATAAATCACGAATCATAAAAGTGAAGTTAATGTACTCTCTGCCATGTGTGATTTTTTGGGGGGGGCAAATAATATCTACTAACTTTTGATCCAACAGAATAAAGAGAGGTGAAGAGCTTACCTATGATTACAAATTCCCAATAGAAGAGGTGAAGATTCCTTGTACATGTGGTGCTAAAAAGTGCCGCAGGTACCTCAACTAACGACTGTGATATTTATCTTGAACCCAAGAGATCAAACTGTTTTCCACTTACAATATAATTGTAAGGGGATTGTTGTATGATGGTATAATTTCCATTTTTCTTGCTTGACTCCGGTGAATTAAGAATTCCAGCTGCTTGTTAAAAGTTTCGCACATTGAATTTTATTGTTCAAAACAAGGAGATGTTGTAAAGTGACAACGAAATCCTACATCAAGACACCAAACAAGAATAGTACCGGTACTCTTATAGGACTTGTGATTGATGTGTACAGGAGAAATTATTTTTCTGTTCCATTATGTTTACAGTTTTTAAATGGCGACCATATTGTGATCATGTTATGAAATTTACTCTGGGAGATAAACTCACTTTCTAATGAGAGTCTTGACTTAACCTGATTTGAAATTTTTCATGCATCAATTTTATTTCATTTAGAAGACTTCCATCCTCATTATCAAGTATATTTTATTGTTTTTATTGTTATCTATTAAACTTACACATGTTAGTAATGTTTTGTACAATATGTTTGCACAGATCACATTTACTCGATTTGAAGATGTTATGAAATAACAAAGTTGTAAAACATTGATTTTTTTTGTACCCCCTCCATTTATTTATTGCTTTTTTTTTGTCTCTGGGTATTTGTTATAGTCATGCAATACCAGATGTGTTCAGATAGCCATTATTAAAAACATGCCCCTGTAAATATTTTGTATCGAGTGTTTTGTACATATATGTATGTAGATAGTGTAAATATCAAGTTTTTTCTGCCCTAATCTTATTACTGGTATGTTTTTATCTTGTTTCTGCTTTATTTGATAACTGCCAATTTATGACAAGAGAAAAGTTTTCATTTAACCATATATTATTAATTTAAGAAAAAAAAATGAAATGGAGAAAAATAAATTATTACACAGATGTTATCTTCTGGTTTATTTTTCCTCAAAATAGTTTTTAGGTTTTTTTGGGGGGGTTGGGGGGTTGGGTTGTGATAAGCTCAAGAATTATTCTTACATGTATTTGAACAGGTGTATATATGCCGACAACAAAAATGAACAAAGTGGAGTCAAATGGTATGTCCTGATAAAAACAAAAATGTGAAAAGAAGTTTTTTTGGCAATAGATACAGTTGTAAGAAGTTTAATCAATAATTGTGATAGAGTAGAAAACAAATTGTTATCCTGATGATAAAGTCATGGGTGGTTGGGTGAAGTTACTGGAAATCAAACACAAATTGATGGAGCTAACATTAATTGTGGAAGAACAGTAACCATGGAGGAAGCCAAATATCTTTTAGCTCACCTGAGTGGAAAGTTAAGTGAGCTTTTCCTGATAGAAATTTGTCCATTTTCTATTGACATAGGGTAGTAATTGATGTTGTCATAAACTTTTCATACTTTCTTCTTCTCCACAGAATTACTTGGCCAATTTCAACCAATCTTAGCACAGGGTATCCCTTGATGAAAGGGGATTCAAGTTTGTTGAAATGAAGGGCCATGCCCTCCTCCAAGGGGAGATAATTACAAAATAGCAAAAAATTAATGGAATTAAAAAATCTTCTCAAGAACCAATGGGCCAGAAAAGTTGAAACTTGTGTGGAATTATTGTCAGATAGTGTAGACTCAAGTTATTCAAATCATGACCCCCACGGGTAGGGTGGGGCCACAATGGACAATTAAAAGTTTTACATGGGAGTGTATAAGAAAAATCTCATGAACAGCAAAGCTATGATAGGCCATATATACATGTACATGTATATGGGTCAGGGTGTGTAGATTCATGTTTGTCAAATCATGACACTTTGTGTTAGAGTGGGGCCACAATGGATGATTCAAATTTTACATAGGAGAAAAAAAGCAAAAATCTTCTCAAGAATAGCGAAGTCATGGTTGGTACTATTTATATGGAAGAATCCTCAGATAGTGTAGATTCAAGTTTGTTCAAATCATGACCCTCCATGGGTAGGGTGGGGCCACAATAAAAGTTCAAATTTAAAGGGGAAAAGTTCCAGTTAGTCAACAGAATATGTAAGCATCCTTAGTTACTGTAGATTCAAATCATACCCCCTCTCCACTTAGAGTTACATGTAGATGGGGACCACTTTTGCATTTAAGCAATTCAATACAAAATTTATTTTTGTTTTTTACCTAGCCAGAGTGTTCAGGTGAACGATGTGGCCCCTTGGCCTTTTGTTATGCCACACACGCACACCATATGTATATGCAAGGGTCTTTAAGGGAAAAATGTTGCTATAATGCAAACTTGATTTATGACTGCAAGGTCATTAATGGTAGTATTTAACAGCAAAAAAAAAACAAAAAAAAAAACTAGAACTATCCAAACGGAACAAAATACCCCCCGCTGGGTTTTTCAGAAGTGCTAAATCATGAATATTTTATGGATCTAAGAGAAGAGAGAAATGCTAAAACATTTTTAGTGCAAATGTAATTGCTCATTATATTTTTTATAAATGAAACGAAGGCGCAGCCTAATAAAAAAAATAGACTAAATATACAGACCAGACACGAATTATGAACTTTTTCTGTCAGTGACCTTGAACTTGCATAAATGACTTTGGTTCAAAGTCATGACACAACCTCAGGTCATAAGCAATGTTTGTGTGAAGTAGTAGATTTAAGTTTTTCCATATAAAAGATATGGACCGGACACGAATTATGAAATTTTTCATAATTGGGTCAAGGTCATGACACACCTTTAGGTCATGAGGAATCTGTGTGAAATAGGGACTTACCAAGTTTATCAATAAGAAAGATATGGACCGGACACAAATTATGAAATGTTTCTTCCAGTGACCTTGAACTTCCCCAAATGACCTGGACCCAAGGTCATGACACCCTTAGGTCAGGAGCAATCTTTGTGTGAAATGAGAACCTACCAAGTTTATCCATAAGAAAGATATGGACCGGACACGAATAATGAATTTTTTCTTCCAGTGACCTTGAACTTCCCCAAATGACCTTGGGTGAAGGTCATGACACACCCTTAAGTCATGAGCAATCTTTGTGTGAAATTAGAACCTACCAAGTTTATCCATAAGAAAGATATGGACCGGACAGGTTTGCACAGACAGACGGACAAGCTGATTCCTATATACCCCCTCCCCCCCCCCCCCCAAACTTGAGAGGGACAATAAACAACATACAAACAAGCAACGTTTGAGCAGATACTAGTACACTGTCCCTACTTAAGGTCAGACGAGACGTTCTTCAAAATCTGTTTTGTATATCTTCGAAATGTATGAAAAATATTCAAAATTTTAATAACATTCTGATTTCTAAACCAGTTTCTAAACGTTTTTAAAACATCCAAACACTTAAACATTTGAAATTCAAAAATTATTTTTCTTCCCCAAAGGATTATATAAGAAAAACTACCCCTGGTATCTTGCAGAAATGCCTGGTAAGGTACCTCAATTTTTTCTGAGTAAACATGTTTAAGTAGCAATACTTCAATGACAAAATCTTAGAAAAATTTATCTATTATTAAGGAACGTCTCGTCTGTCCTTAAGTTCGAAAACTATTTGCAGCTGACTATGCAAGGTGATCCCTTCTTTAATCTCTCCCTCTCTCTCTCTGAACTACTACACTATAATACATTTTGAAATCACAAAACGAAGTTAAATGTTGCTGAATCATACACTATAGGCAGGGAGGGAAACTCGAAGGGAGGTAAACTTTTCACCTCAGAGACTTTACAAGAGAACTTTCACTGAAGGGGGTTCTTTGAACATTCAATATTGTGTCTATCCAAATAATCGTTTCTAAGTAATCAATGTAAATTCAAACACTGTGAGAGTTAATTATTTCAAAATTAAGTTTAGAGTTCAAGTGCGTAGACTTTATTCTCAATTCGAATAAATACCCATACAAAATGAGAGGTGTTTGAAGGAAAGTTTTTAAAGCACGGTTTTGAAGGATTTCCTTGAGATTTTTTAAACAGCCCAGTGTATCGGGTGTCAATGAATTATCTTAAATTTTAATAATACTAGATAGATTGGGTCACATGATATGATGAATTTGAAACCAGTGGGGGGTAACTGTCAAGTCCGAGTTGTTACAAGGGATATAAAACATGTTGGCAAATCTAGATACTTGATTAAATTTACCATTGAATGAGTTAAAGAATACAATACAGAAATCTAATCAATCAGTTCATATGTCAGTGTAGATGAGTTCTGATTTTAGATAAAGAATCTATGCCGAAAAAGTTCATTCACAGTATATTGATTATATGTTTTAATAATGATAAGATTTCCATTGAAGAATTATTTCCTTACTTTACAAATCCACAGAGTGAAAATGGCATGTAGTTTTTTACTGACTCACCCATCCCCAGTTCAAATGAAAATTGTACATAAAAATTTATTCTGAACTTTCATTGGGGGGGGGGGGTTAGATACCACGAAGTCAGATTGAAATTCTTCCTCCATGCTTCTAATACTGTGAAACAAAGACGACACCTTCTTAAATATTACATCATATGAATATTACTTGTGAATATATTTCAAGTATATGTAAAGAAGTTCAATTTTTTTTTTTACTTTGATTCACGGCATGTCAGACGTGAATACATATAAAATCGTTGACACTTGCAACCTTGTAGATAATTATTTTCTGGCAAACAGACAAAGTGCATTTCATCGCCTCTAAGGATATGATTTAAATGTTTGAACTGAACAGCTTTTTCAAGTACCCTTAGCAAGAAATTACATTTTGTTTCTCTTTAAAACTCTATTCTTAAAAAAAGTATGAAAAATGTACATGCATTATTTTAATCACACAACCTGTAACAAAGAGGAAAAACATAACTGGAAATGACTTTTGTAGATTAATGTAAAGGAGACAATTTTTGTAAAAAAGCAATAAACGAAACGATTATTTGGCCTACATTGTATAAGTCATGGAATTAATCCAGTCTGAATATGATCCGTAATACTGTTTGCACATATATGTGAGCAAATGCATAAACTTCTTAAAACTATTGCGCGGATTTGCACAAAACTTGGCAGTGTACTATCCCTTAATCTACTGGGGTCAATGTGTCGTCGTCCCTTTCGTGCATGGTGAAGGCATAGTGAGAGCGGGTACAGATGTTGGGTTCCATCAGACGATTGACTATTTCCTTCACTTCGCTGCCTGACCTGTGCCACATATCCCCTGGTTCTTCTTCTTCATACTTATATTTCGCGAAATCTCTCTGGTAATGAGCACATGATCGTGGGGTAAGTTTATGAGGGCTGGGTCGGGACAGCCGCTCCACCATTCCGTTTACGTAGTCCGAGGGGAGAGGATCTAAGAACGCAGGGGCGCGTGGCAAACTCGCACCGTATCTTTCATCGTAGGCGTAAAGTCGTCTTCGCTCTCTTCTGGGTCCAACCCTTTCCGATACCTCGAAAGAAAGAGATCTTGGATTGTAAATTCTTGAACGCCGATTTTGGAATTTCGTCTCCTTTGTGGAATACAAATTTTTGATATTTTTATTGTTAAGTCCTGTCCAAGTTACACAGAAAGCCATCGTTATATATTTCCTAAATAATTTTTTTTTCTCTTTCACATTCGAGAACTCACAAATAAATTAAACTCCCTCCTCAAATTTCACACTAGCTATACATAATGCATGCCAATGAAATCCAGACTGCACTTCAGAAAATCCAGTATAAGTACTTTCAAATTAATTTTCCCCTTTGAATAAGGATGAGCTCCAAACTAACTTATTTCCACTTCAATTTTGTTACGTCTAAACCTCTTTGTATGGGTATCCATTTATTCGTAAAGTAAATACCTAACAGGTACGATAATGCACAAAACACACTCTCCCTGCCGTTATATATTCTTTGGTTCGTCTCTATTATCACACCAAAATTTAGAACTTAAATTCTACGGCATTTTTAAATAACAGCCTTCAGAAGATATTGGTGGCGAACGTTTAAATAGTATATCAAAAATTAAAGCCCGTCGGCCCTGTTTTATTACGGTTAGAATTTTAGATACTGCGACCGAGAGAAAGGAAGGCTTATTTGTTCATGTTATTTACTAGATATTTAAAGAATTATAAGTTTTCAAATGGATGTTTGCACAGCGACTCTGACTTGTAATTAACGATTTTGGGCGATTGGCACAAATAGACCTGTGAAAATGATTCATTACATGTAACAAAACCCCGGTGGCCTGTTTTGAATTTTTGTCCATTGTACTTTATTATTAGGTCTGGTATAGTTCATTATTTGACCATATTTATTAACATAACAAATATATCACATTTTAGGGTTGGAATATCGATCAAAAACAACTTTTTTGTAAAGATTTCGAAAATAATGATTTATGCAAATGTTTGATTTTATTAAATGGGTATTTGATGATCCAAGAGCGACTGTACTGTAAAATCATTCACTTTCGTTTGGTTACTTTTTATGCCCCGTATCGAATATTCGAGTGTACATAGTTTTTGCCCTGTCCGCCCGTCTGCCTGTCTGTTTATTTTTACTCACTTTTATGAAAAAAAAAATTAATAAAAACGTCAGGGCCTTCATATTCCCCAGATGTATTTCTTGTGTAACAAGACCTTTGTTTGGAAATAAACATTTTTGACCTTGGAGTTTAAGCTCTAGACGCTCATATGCTAAATAGAATGTTTCTGGAAAACTGAAGGTACAAGATGTGTTTGTGAAACACTGATGCCCCCGTATGGCAACAATTAAAGCGATATGTAGGTACCAAAACTACGTAAGGCCTTCTAACAAGAAATACAATTGTGAAATATGAAAGCCCTAGCACCACCTGTTCAAATGTTATGGCCAAAGTTAAAAAAAAAAATTAAAAGTAGGACAAACATCTAGGTCGAGGTCAAAGTTGTTGGTTTCAGAAAGGTCTTGGGCCATCTTTAAAAACTTGTTTGGTTGCCTCTCCCGATCCGACGGACTAAATGGCCTGACTCAAAAAAATTATTTTACATTCCACGACAAGATTTTTTATGCACCAGGATCGATAGATCCGGGGCGAATGTTGTTTTTGTCCGTCTGTTTATCTGTTTGTCTGTCTGTTGTCAACTTTAACCTTCACCATAACTTTTGAACCATGAGAGATAGAGACTTCATGTTTGGAATGCATATTCTACTTATTAAGTTCTTTCAAATGACACTAAGGTTAATGACCTTGCGACCTTGAGTGTGACCTATATACTAAAAATAGCTTTTTCAAACTTTTTATACCATAACTTTTGAACTATAGGAGATATAGACTTTATATTTGAAATACATACTCCACTAATTAAGTTCTTTCAAATGACACCAAGGTGAATGACCTTTTGACCTTGACTGTGGCCTTTATGCTAAAAATAGTTTTTTTGAACTTTGTTGCCACCGGGCGCACAATGTCTTACAAATACGTCTTGTTTTTAATTTCTTTTATCTCGTCAACAAATATGTTGAACATTTATGGATAAAAGATTTTCCCACCTACCCAATAGTTTTACCCTGAGTCGGGAGAGGGCAAGCAAACATTATTTTAAAGATGGTCTTGTCACAAGAATGACATATTTGAAGTATGAAAGTCCTAGCTTTACTGTAGTAGCTCTTATAAAGTTATGGCAAAGGTTAAAGCGTTTTAAAAGTAGGTCGAACTTCTAGGTCAAGATAAAATTTGTTGGTTTCTTAAGAAAGGTCGGGCCATCTTTAAAAACTTGTTTGGTTGCCCTCTCTTGACTCGACTGACTTAAAATGGCCCGACTCAAAAAATTTTATGTTACATTCCAGGACGAGATTTTTTTCTCTTTTTTTCTCGTCAACAAAATAATATGTTGAAACTTTATGAATAAAAAATTTTCCCACCTACCTACCGACCCAATAATTTTACCTTGAGTCGGGAGAGGGCAAGCAAACATTATTTTGAAGATGACCTTGTTACAAGGATGACATATTTGAAGTATGAAAGCCCTAACTTTAACCATTAAAAAATTATGACCAAGGTTAATTTTTTTAAAAGTAGGTCAAAGTCCTAGGTCAAGCTCATAGGGTAAAAGTTGTTGGTCTCTAAAGAAAGGTCTTGTCACAAGGATTACATATTTGAAGTATGAAAGACCCGTTAAAAAGTTATGGCCAAGGTTAATTTTTTTAAAAAGTAGGTCAATCTACCAAGGTCAAAGGGTAAAGGTTGTTGGAATCCAATGAAAGGTCTTGTCACACAGAATAAATATGAGAAGTATGAAAGTCCTAGCACCAAATAGATAGAAAATAGATCTCATATCCCACAATAATAAGAAACATATTGTCCTCAATCTTCCCCATTATTGTAAGTACTTTATTCTCTTGATCATTCCAGTTAAACACTCCCCAACCATTATTTCCCCCTCCCTAATGACACATACTGCCCGGGGTCTCTGTATCCCCTGATCAGGAATGATGTACCCCAGGAATCGACCGTCCCTGTCCAACATGTGAATTTTGTCGTTGATGATGTCCGTGATGGTGATGTAATGCATGCTGTCTGTGGTAAGGGAGCTAGGCAGGAATTCCTCTTTGGACGCTTTGTTCCCTGTGTAAGAGAATCTGAATATTCCGAACTTATTAACGACTGTGACAGCTTTTTTACCCCAGTCAGCTACACAAACGTCGCCATTACCATTTTCCACCACATAAACTGCATCCTTAAACAGAGGCTGGTACTGGGAGTCGTACTGGATTTCCTCCAGCACGTCACCGGAAGTGCTGTATCTTACGATCTTGGACTCTGTTGTCTGGAGACAGACAAGGAAGTCACCTGCCGCGGTACAGGTAATTCCGGAAGGATTGTATTCCCCGGTACGGAACAACGTATCTACTTTACCGTTTATAACTTTCTTCACAGTATTATCATTTCTATCAGTGTACACCACGTGTCCATCATGAAGGGTCAGGTAACCACCATAATCCGAAATGTCGACAGTGTCGTGGAGACAGCCCTGAAGATCAAACAACTTGAGCTCATGACTGGCTCCCCCTGCCCACACTTTGTCATCTCCGAGGGGAATCATATCAAACAGGCGGTTGTTGTTTTCTTTCTTATCAGTGTACACCACGTGTCCATCATGAAGGGTCAGGTAACCACCATAATCCGAAATGGCGACAGTGTCGTGGAGACAGCCCTGAAGATCAAACAACTTGAGCTCATGATTGGCTCCTCCTGCCCACACTTTGTCATCTCCGAGGGGAATCATATCAAACAGGCGGTTGTTGTTTTCTTTCTTAGCCGGAAACTCTGTATTAAAGGTGGACAGGACTTCCGATATACTTAGAACTTGTCCTGATGAAGAGATCTGATCTTCTTTTGTTAGATCGTCGAAAGGCAGTTTTTGTGATTCTAGTTCCTGTATGTAACCGAAGGAAGATGTATAACTTTCATTAAACTTGATAGGTTGGAAGAATGCCGGTCTTGTTTCTTCTATAAAGGTTGGAATCTGTTGATTCTCAAGTTCAAACTTAAGTTCCATTAAACCACGGACATCTTTGGAGTTTTCCAAGCTGTCGACTGTTTGTTCAAGAGTTTTCAATTTCTTACATATTTCTTCAAATTCTTTTTTCTGCTTGATTAAAATTCCTGCATGCTTTTCTTGCAGTTTATATAGGTCCTTGTGCAGTGCCTTCTCTGCCTTATCAATTTCCTGATGCAGGGTTTTTGGCATGTGATGAAATTTTTTCTTTTGTCTGCTTGTAAACACGTCGAAGGGATGCCAACCTTTTACTTACATGTTCCAAAATTCTCTCCAATTCTGTTCGCTTTGTCCGTAGCCGTTCATTTTCTATCGTGATGAAATCGGATAATTTATCGACTTTCTCGGATAGTTCGACAATACCATGTTCCCTGTGCTTGTTTAAAACACATAAGACACAGAGAGGAATATTACATGTCTTGCAGAAGGCGCTACATTGTTGCTGGGGGTGGGTCAGACATTCTCCACCTTCGATTTTTTGTTTGTTGTATTTTGTAACTTCATGACCATTTTTGGATTCGATAAGAATGTGAGGTTCTACACATGCATTGCATAAATTAAGCGCGCATCGTTTGCATGTGAAAATTACAGGACTTTGACAAATATCACATTCAATATAATGCTGTCCTTGTCTTAATACTGAAGAAGCCATCCTTTTATCTGAAATAAAATAAAGGAACATGTTATATACCAATGTTAGTCCACTTCAGGCCAGATAAAATTAATCTTTAGATTCTCATCCTAATTTGCTATAAAAATTGGGACGAGTGAGCGGATTTTATTTTTTATAATTGTAAAATTGTAAGTGTCAACAAAACATGGACTCTTCGGTCACAGTTTTTTGTTACGCTAATGCCAATATGAATAGATTTTATTCTTGTCATATTCTTTTAAATATTTAAAGAAGATTCTTGCTTTCAAAAATTAAATATTTATAGTTAATTAACAAATTATCAAGCACACGCCAAACAAAATGTGGGGATACCAATAAATTGTGTATTCATGACTTCTTATCGGCCTTTCACCAAATACCTTTTAGTTTTACCAACAAATCCCTCTGTTTTGAGTAAAATATAAAATAGATTTCCACTTTCTTAAAAAAAATTGATCATTCTTGACACTTGACATGTTCGATATTAAAATAGGCCATATTTGCAAAATCTATAACTGAAAACCCTAGTTATATACTGAAAAGGTTTATACATGTATTAAGTCTGTTCTCTATTAATGTATTGAGGTCAGGGGTTCGTTGTCTTATTTAGGGTAACACGAATGACCTAGGTGCAGTGCTTAGAGTCAGACCTGTCTAAGTACTTAGTTTTATTACTGTATACAGAGAAAAGTTCGCCCCCGTTTTATTTTCGCCCCTTTCGCCTTAATGACTTATTGGCGAATTTAAAACGGGGCGAATTCAAAGAAATCGGTATGATTTAATTCTTAAACAGAAATATGACTAGGCAAATTTAAAACGAGGCAAAATTATTCGCAAGTACAAAAGCGTGAACATAACACAGGGCGAAAAAAAAACTGTAAACAGGATTGAGTTTGTCTTGAGCCGTTACAATTAATCTATACGGGGTTCACTCGCTCTGACAAAGTCTACGACATGTCATGGAAATAAAAAAGACAACATATTTTTTAAATTAAAACTCTGGGAATTTTGAGCTCTTTTTCCCCGTATCAGTCAAAGCCAGCAAGATTATAAATAGTTTGTTTTCGCAGTTTTGTCAAAATTCTAATTTAGTGACCTAGATAAAATTTAGATAAGTCAAATGAATTTTATGTTCAAATAGGTTTTTACTGTGCAGAAATTGAGAAAAATAATTTGAATACATTGTACAGAAAACTGAAATTTAACGACACTACAGCTAATAATTGAATATTAAATTCATAATTTTTTTTTTTTGAGTTTAAGTAATTTATAACATACCTCTTCACAGCCAACCTTTCATCTCGAACAGAAAACAGTTTCCCCGGCCAAAAGTGAAGTGAGTCGTATTTCAAATGAAATCCTGGCCAATCAAAAGGGCTCATGCATATAATCTGCTTGCAGCATATAGGATCTAATGTCTACATGGACAAATTAAATAATTTCAATAATACCAACATTTATAAAGCATATATGATTAAAACTTCTGTATATTTTCCCCACGTTTACAAGTCATTGAATAACCTACCCTGTCGTGGGCCTCGACAGAATTGTTGTGCAAAAGTCATGATATTACAAAGGATGTGCATGTAAAATATATGTAAAGCTTTCCTTGTTTGGCTCTTGAAACACTTATCTGAAAAAAAAATCGTCTAAGTCGGGATATTACAAAGGATGTGCATGTTTCTAAAAGTAATATTTTGTGAAAGCTTCTTTGTTTGGCTCTTGAAACACTTATCTGGGAAGAAATCCTCTAATTTCCTTGAAAAATAGGCAAGTTGTATGAATAAAACACTCAAGATTCAATGTGAATTTTTATATTTTCTAAGGCTTCCTATGAAGAAGTGAAAATATAACTAGAAAGTCTGCTATTGCATGCAATAGCGTATGTCGCTCCGAACTGGACAAGACTTTCATTCTTTCATCACTAAATATTTACATCCACTGAATATTTTCTCCTTTATTTCCTAAGAAAACCCATTGCGTTAATCGCTGCATGAACTACATTAGGCATGTCTGTACATGTCGCCTGTACTGATTTCTTGATCAGTGGCTGTTCCATCAATGAAACGTATAAAGACGTTCGCATTATTAATACAATAATTAATCATTTTAATCCTACTTTGAATGATTATTCAAATAGATATAAATATAAACAATACGATGTCTTTGTTTGTTATTACTGGAATTAACGGTCGCAGCTATTGCAGAAAAAATTTACATAACCCGCGTAAGCGGGTTATGTATTTTTTCTGCAACAGCTGCTTCCGTTAATTCCAGTAATAACAGACAAAGAAAGCATTTTATTGTTTAAAACAATACCCGTTAGCTAAGCTTAGACAACCATCAACTCGTATCAGTCCTTTCAGTACTTTGGTTTAAAAATCAAAGTTAAAGACTTTTCACTTTTCTCCTGTTTCCATGGAAACTATTGACAATTTGCAATTTTTAAATCCAATGAGCACAATTACAGATACTAATTATTACACAAATAAAATTTCATGAAGAATGTTCAAGGGACCAGAGAGAAAACTCGCGGACAAAATTCGTCCATTTTTGCAGGTTTCCATGTCAACGGTAGCCATTTTGAAACTGAATGACCACACAACACAACTACAACCAGTGATTCTCTTTAGAGGGAAGTTTCAGGAAGATTGTCTCAGCCATCTCCGAGAAACAGCCTGGAGAACAAAAACATGCATACAATCGCAATATGTCTCCCGACTTCGTTCGGGGCGACATATAATTATAAAACAAGATGTATTTGTGAAACACTATGCGCCCGACGGGAAATAAATTTGAAAAAAACTATTTTTAACATATAGGTAACAGTCAAGGTCACAAGGTCATTGACCTTGGCGTCATTTGAAAGAACTTAATTAGTGGAGTATGCATACCAAATATGAAGTCTCGGATCTCTCATGGTATAAAAGTTATGATGAAGGTTCAAAAAAGCTATATTTAGCATATATGTCACAGTCAAGGTCACAAGATCATTGACCTTTGTGTCATTTGAAGGAGCTTTATTAGTGGAGTTAGCATACCAAATATAGAGTCTCTATCCTTCATGGTCCAACAGTTATGGCGAAGGGAGTTTCAATAGTAGAGTGTGCATACCAAATACGAAGTACTAGTATCTGTCTTTCATGGTTCAAAAGTTATGGCGAAGGTTAAATTTTTCCAACAAAAAGCCTTTTTTAGCATATAGGTCACAGTCAAGGTCACAAGATCATTGACCTTGGTGTCATTTGAAAGAGCTTATTTTGTGAAGTATGCATACCAAATATGAAGTCTCCATCTTTCATGGTTCAAAAGTTATGGCGAAGGTTAAAGTTTGTAGACAAACAAAGAAACAGACAGACAGGAGAAAAACAATATACGCCTCGGATCTATCGATCCGGGCACATAATAAAATAAAAAAAATTAGTTTGGTAATCTCTACAAGAGACCCATGGGCCACAACTCAACATAGTCACTACTTGGATTTAATACAGTTCTACTGACATAGTCATTACTTGGTTTTACAGTTCTGCTGACACATAGTCACTACTTGATTTTACAGTTCTGTTAAATTGGTCACTACTTGGTTTTACAGTTCTGCTGACACATAATCACTACTTGGTTTTACAGTTCTGCTGACACATAGTCACTACTTGATTTTACAGTAATTCTGACATAGTCACTACTTGGTTTTACAGTTCTGCTGACATAGTTACTACTTGGTTTTACAGTTCTACTGACATAGTTCCTACTTGGTTTTACAGTTCTGCTGACATAGTCACTACTTGGTTTAAAACTGAAAATTGTCCTAAAATTTGCACTCAAAGAAAAAAGCTGAATTCTCTTTTGCAATACTCTCAGAATGCTTGTTCACAATTGCAATTCTTGTGATACGACCTTACTTTGGGTATCAACATACTGTATAGGGGATTAATTTCACGGGTTGTAATTTTCACGTTTTTCTCTCATCTGACACTATCGCGGTTTCTTGAATTCGCGGAATTGGTAAATGTATGTAATAAAAGTTACCTCCCTTTTCTAGTCTACCCCATATAGCTACATGTAAACGACATTAATCAGCGTTATGTCTTTATTTTACGATCAACAGAGTAGATTATACGATTGATTAGAAGAGAGGTATTCAAGTCTTCGTCGTCATATGACTTTCCTTGCGATGGGTGCATGTGCATCCCAAAATCTTCTATACAACGCGGCAAAAAACCACTAACGAGTAAGGAATGTGTTAATTTAGGTCGACGAAATAATTCCTTCCAAATCTTTAGTAAGTTCGATAGTTATTTGAATGATTTTTTTAAAACCGAAATGTCGGTAAAACTAATATGCATGATAATGCAGGTAACAAACACACGTGGTAACATTAGTTACGCACGGGTAATCAAAACTCATGGCCCATGTGTTTTGAATGAATTATCATCTAGCGTGGGCTATTAAAACAGCTTTTTAACAAATCTGCTGATTTGAATTAAAGCAAAGCGAGATAATTAAAAGAACGGAATGACAAGTACAAAAACTTTGCTAATTACCGAAATGACCAGGTACTGCACGTACATGTATATACCGGTATAAACCTATCGTAGTCTATTCTCAAATTTCTTAATAAAACATGGAGTTTACTGAAAATTTATTCACTGTTTTTTGAATTCACGGATTTATTGACACCGTGAATATAGCGAATATTAACACCGCGAGTTATTTTCCCCCTATACAGTATTTGATTTGCATTTGAGAAAGTTTAATCTTCGGTATGTTGCCATACGGGGGCATCAGTGTTTCACAAACACATACTGTTTTTCATGTGTACAATTACTGAGACAAGTCCTTTCTATGGATATCAACATTTTTCATCTGTTGACCCTGGAGTCTGACTTGCAATTCAGAAACAGTCCGTCCGCTTGTCATTCAGTCTGTCTACAAAAACTTTAACCTTAACCAATACTTTTGAGGGGGCCATGGATTTCATATATCACAGGTGTATTCCGTGTGACAAGACCTTTCATTTGGTACCACCAAATTTGACCTCATGACCTTGACCCACTTTTATTAAATTCTCTGAACATTAATCATAGCCATAACTTTTGAATAGTTGGTAATAGACCTTTCATACTTCACATTTGTATTTACTGTGATAGACAATACCTTTCATTGGGTATAATAATATATGACCTTTTGGCCTTGGCCTTTTAATTTGAGTTTGTTCCACTTTGAAAAAAAAAACTTTAATCTTGGCCATTTCTTTTGAACAAATAGTATCAAAGCTTTCAAAATTCACAGGTTCTTTCCCTGTGAGTAGACCTTTCTACGGATACCAACAATTTAGACCTTGACCTTGGAGTTTAACTTGATGTTGGGAAACTTCAACCCTAACCATAAGTTGCAATACGGGGGCATCAGCTTTTTCACAAACACATCTTTTTTTAAAGAAAACAAAATTGTGTTTGTGAAACATTGATGTCCTGTTTGGCCCGCATTTGAAGTTTCTAAAATGCAAATCAAAATCAAAGGTCAAGGACAAAATTGTTGGTATCCAGAGGATGTTCTTGTCATAAGGAATACACCTGTGGAATATAGAGTTATAGAGTTCAAAAGTTATGCCCAAGAGTGATTTATTTTTAAAGTGGGTTAAACTGTAAGGTCAAGCTCAAAAACATTTATACCCTTGGAGAGTTTGATTCTTGTAACAATGAATACACATGAGAAGAAAAAAACTGTTCAAACGTTATGACCAATTGAAGTTTAAGCATTTCTTGTAAAAGTGAGCCAAATCAAGGTCATGATGTCAAATTAAGTAGTACTCAAAGAAAGGTTTTGTCACTAGGAATACACCTGTGAAATATGAAACCTACAGCCCCCAACAACTCAAAAGTTATGGGCAAGGTTAAAGTTTTTGCAAACAAGCAGACCGACAGACTTCTTCGATTACGGGGGCAAAAAATATATATCTACCGCATTAAGCGATCACAAATAATCATTATGTTCAAAAATAGTAAATTCATGTTTAGAAAATGTTTATTTGCCCTTCTCCCAACCGATTGTAGGAAAATGGCCCGTGGTTCGAAACTTTTTTTTAAGTTTTAGGCGATAACTTTCTATAATTCAAATTCAAGCCACCACCCCTTCCCATCTTCGCTAAGCAAAGGTTTCTGATACGCTAATCGTATAGAGTATCAGAAACTCTTGGTTAGTAATTTTTAATACTTGGAACTGATTTCTGCTTTTTCTAAGCCAATGAACTCAGGTGGGGTTGCGGCCAATGAACCTCCTATCTATTTACAAACTAAGCTGGGGAATGCCTTTGTTTGTACGTTGTTTAACGTCCCTCTTGAGAATTTTTCACTCATAGGGAGTCTCTACCACTTGCCGGTGGAGACCTGCAAATTTTGTCCTTTACTCAGCACTCACGACCATTGAGCAGGGAGGGATCTTTTCTTGTGTCAGCACCTACTGCGACACGGGACCTCGGTTTTTACAGTCTCATCCGAAGGACCGGTCTTCACGTCCCATGGTGGGCATTGAACCCGCAATGTAAGGATCAACTCTTACTTTGCGACTCTTAAAGAAGACGCTCTATTTGTACGCCCCCCCCACCCCCAACCCCGCATTTAATCATAACATTCAATGCCTCAAACGACTTTAACAAGTACGTCAGGTCTGACATGCGTTAAATTCAGTAGAAAGTATAATGAAATTTACAATTATATAGCGAGAAAATCAGAGGATGTAAATGTAAGTATTGGATTCTTGTTTTTGGATTTTTGGCACTGTTATAGGACCGACGATATCAAAAAATAAGAATTTGAGTTGCTTAGAAGTCTTTGCACACTAAAAACTAAATCTTTTGCCTTCGATATGGCCATTCACTTTTTCTTCGTGATGGATGAACCAGGAATCCAGATCCAAAGATTAAAACATAGAAAAAGCCTTTGAGTTGAAACCCCCTATGTTATCGAACCCTGAAACCCCGTTAGGCACAGTAGAATTTGGCCACAAAAGTTTATATTTCTTACCGAAATAGAGACTGTTAAAAGTGAAAAAAAGTTTTCATGGATTGTTTTTATATCAATCTTTATCAACCATCCTTAAAATGAGCTTTAAAGCACCGCTTTTGAAAATTATAGAGCAAAGAATGACACCGACACCACAACTTTTCCCAGTCGACCGAACTGTCCAGAAGTGTTTGCAGAATGCGTAAGGCTTTCAACTAGCCTATTGCACTAAATTGGAAGGTAGTACATTCTTACAACCCGTGCGCATGTCATTTGGCCCCGAAGAATTCATTAGCAGAGGATTTTTACAAATATATTTTCCAAATGCAAAAAATCACCGCTTCGGAGTTGAAATCCCATATGATACTCAATCGAAACCTCACATTTGCCCCTATACACGGTGCAATAGCAATTCCTGGCCTAGTCATAGGCACGTAGCATCGTCTTTGAAAGTGGAGGGGGGGGCAACCAGAGAAAAAAAAACTTTTTATTGTAAAAGTTGACAAGCAAAAAAAAAAAAAATCCTATTTCGGGGGGGGGGGGGGGGGGTGGTTGTGGCGAGCTTTTTTCGAGGACAACTTCCTTTCACTTCCATTTTTTTTCTTGCATTTAATACTACATTTCCTTCATATTACTATACTGTGGTAAGAAGTGGGGGGGGGGGGGGGCAGCCAACCTTTCAATGGACATTTTCAATAGTAAAGGTAACGTTGGGGAAAAAAAGTGGGGGGGAAGCAGCCCGCCCCCTGTTGCTATGTGCCTGCAGTCATACAAAATTCTATCTCTTGCATTTTAATATGCAAAGGTAGATACATGCCCATTTACAAAACAAGAGATATTCGTAAAACAATTATGCTCCCCTCCCCCCAAATTGGAAATTTTCCAAGTCCAAAAGGGCAAAAATGGCGCAATTGTACCCAAAACAGAACTTGATCTAGATATTCATCTGATAAATCTGTTCACTAAATTTCATTTCAGTATGTGCAACGGTTGCCAAAAAATGAACGGAAATTGCAAATAATTGGAATTTTTGTAAGTCCAAGGGGCATAACTCTGTCAAAAATGGTGCGATTGTACCCAAAACAGAGCTTGACCTAGATATTCATCTGATGTATCTGTATACCATTTCATTTCAGTATGTGCAACGGTTGTGAAGAAAATGAATGGAAACTAAGTGGACCGACAGACAGCAGCAAAGCAATATGCCCTCCCTTCCTCGAAGGGGGGCATAAATATTATAGAGGTAGACACCTTTTCCTGCCAAAGAGATACTTCTATATCTGTATATCATCTACTACTGGCTTTGCCCAATTTATCACCATTTATCAAGATGTACTTTTGAGGTATACATTTCTAAAATCATGGGGTGGAAAAAAAGTATACCTCGTTTTTAATTGTTGATGTACTCTTTTGTTGAATATAAATTCTTTACAAAAGAATTCTAGGTGAGGGATCATGTGACAGCTATTTAGAAAAGGCAAGTGGACTATAATATAAAACGTTATGTAAAAGCTTCTCTGTATAACCAATATTCTACCATCAATCTGCAGACATTAATTCTGCCTCAGCAGCAAAACAAAAATGAATAAGTTTTTATACAAACAAACCCCTCATTTCATGAAACCTTTCCCTGTACCATCAACGGCAAACACAAGAAAACATAGCTTTGTTTTTTCTGTCTTTTTTTTTTACTTTAACATTCACATATACAGAGTTTACTTCTTCTTGGCCACACCCACAGTTCTTCCTCTTCTTCCTGTGGTCTTCGTGTGCTGACCTCTTACTCTCAAACTGAAATGAAAACCAATCAGCAACAATGATTCCAAGAAATAATTATAAATGGGAATTTTGACCTTTAACAATGTAACAACTCTAAAAGCTTAACTAAGACAGCAAAATTTCAGTTAAATCCAACCTAGTATGGTATATATCCCAACTCCCCCCCCCCCCCCCCCCCCTGTTAGAAATTTCAAAAGGCAGAAATACTATGGATCTTTCTAATCCCTCCCAACATTATTTGATCATATCCAATTTTATTTTGGTTTACATTGAAGTGTACAAATGTAATGCATTGTGGGATATTAACCACTGGTTAAATCATTTAACTTAGGTTAGCTAACCAGAGGCTTAATTTTATTTTGAGCAACAGATATTTGACCATTGGTTAGTTGGCAAGTAGATATAGAATTTAACCAGCAGGTAATTTATCAAGTGATCAAATTTAACCAGTGTTTTGAGTGATCCACTCCATAGCTTACCCCCAGTAGTGTCGTAGACCTCTGTGTGCGCGGATCTTCTTCAGTCGCTCCAGATCCTCACGGAGTTTGTTGTCCAGGGAGTTGGACATGACCTGGCTGTATTTACCGTCCTTGATGTCCTTCTGTCTGTTAAGGAACCAGTCAGGGATTTTATACTGTCGGGGGTTCTGCATAATGGTGATAATTTTGTCAATCTGAAAAAGATATATTTCACTGTATCAACACTTGCAAAAAGATACTGATGTCTCTGAAAACATATTCTAAGGCTGCCCATTTTCTTTTTGTAGGTGCCTCTTACTCAGATACCTGATTTTTTGAACCTACATGAAAATCAATAGCTACCAAAGATATTTGGTATGACATGTTATACTGTATAACATGGGTACTATTAAATTCATTTTTGTAATTTAATTTTTTACCAATAAGTGTAGGAAAAAAGATGATTTTATCTCAAATATGACATTAATTTGTACAAAATTAAAATGCAAGTTTAATGGATTGATACCTTTTTGACCCATGTCACTGTGATGTAGGCAATCATAGTTATAAAGTATAAAATTTTCAGCCAATCAAAAAATTTGTTACACTGAACCAAAATTAAATTATTCAAACATACCTAGGCAAAAACATTTAATATCATAGTTCTTTGGCAAAGATTTTAAAATCAAATTAAAATATATTTTCTCTTCCTACCTAATTAATTTTCTGACCTATCATGAGAGTGCAGGCAAACTTTAAAAAGATAGCCTGACATGACTGTTCTGGGAGCCAATAGTCTCATCATATGGTTTTTAGCTCACCTGAGCCGAAGGCTCAAGTGAGCTTTTCTGATCACATTTTGTCCGTCGTCCGTCCGTCTGTCTGTCTGTCCGTCCGTCTGTAAACTTTTCACATTTTCGACTTCTTCTCAAGAACCAATGGGCCAATTTTAACCAAACTTGGTACAAAGCATCCTTGGGTGAAGGGGAGTTTAAATTGTTAAAATGAAGGGCCAAGTCCCCTTACAAGGGGAGATAATCAAGAAAAGACAAAAATAGGGTGGGGTCACTAAAAAATCTTCTTCTCAAGAACCACGGGGCCAGGAAAGCTGAAACTTATGTGGAAGCATCCTTGGGTAGTGTAGATATTAAATTGTTAAAATCGTGACCCCCGGGGATAGGGCGGGGCCACAATAGGGAATCCAAGTTTTACATAGAAATATATAGAACAAATCTTTAAAAATCTTCTTCTCAAGAACCACTGGGCCAGGAAAGCTGAAACTTATGTGGAAGCATCCTTGGGTAGTGTAGATTCTAAAGTTTTAAAATAAAAAGGGAAGGGGGTTGTTGGGCATGATAGGTATAACAAGAGGGGGAATCTGGTAAAGATCTGCATCACCCAAGTTACTCAGGTGAGCGATGTGGCCCATGGGCCTCTTGTTTAATACAGACTATGTATATGGTAAACATAATAAAACATTTCAGTTCTGAAATATACCTCCTCATCGGAGAGTTCTCCAGCCCTCTTTGTGATGTCTACATCAGCTTTCTTGCAGACAACATGAGCATATCGTCTACCAATACCCTGCAAAATATCATACAATCATAAATTTCTTTCCAAATAAAACAAATCTATATATTTTACAGAAGCTATGAAAGAGACATAAGTATAATACATGCTATATTCTTCTGTCCATCAGCATTTTACAGATAATTCATTAGAAAGTGGAGGATTATGTGGAAAATAAAATAAACCTCGTCCTCTGTATCAATACTCTCCAGAATGGAGATTGGTACCAATCTTACATCTCCAAGTTTGAAAGGTATGGGAATATGGAAAACACTTTCATGAAACCCTTACACCTGTTGTATTATTTGCAATGGAGTTATAGTACAGGGAGTCAGATTCTCCATTTGTGGCCATTACACATTTTTGTACCAACACATGACAAGGAAAACATTTTCAGGATAAATCTTTTTCCTTATGTGTATTTTTTCACAATCATAAATAAAATGATTCCTTCCTTAATTAGCAGAAATGCAAAAGTTTATTTGAGATAGGACTTTGCCAGAAACCATTGGTATTTGGTAACAATTTACAACTTTGTGAACTTGATGTTCAACTCTTTCACATCAAGATTTATTGGAGCAACTTTCTTACACAAAGTTTTGAAATGAATCTGGAAACTTGTCAATACCATAAAATGTGTCCTTTGACCTTAAAATCAAGTCAAAGGGACTTTTTAATTTTATTGCAAGAGCTTAAGAAGCATACAGGATATTGTAATTAAATAAAAGACTCTGAAAATGAACCTTTGAATCTGGATGCATTGGCAAAATCTCAGCAAATATATGATGATTATTTAAAACAAAATTCTCATACCTTGATGGCAGTCATGGCGAACATAACTTTTCTTCTTCCATCAATATTTGTATTGAGGATACGAAGAATGTGCTGAAACTTTTCTGGCACTATCAAAGCCTGCAAAAACGAAAAAAGTTTATTCTCAACCTATAACAACTCATCAACTTGTATGAAAGAAAATATACAATATTTATTAAACATCACCAATTTATGTTTGGACTTGGTAATGGTTATACATTCCAGATGATTTAGTACAAAGAAAAATTACACTTTTGACAGTTGCATATAAAAAGTGAAGCGTGTGTGGTTTATTTATATATATATATCTTAATCCCGCTTCAGACAAATTTGTATATTAATGATTGGATGAAAGCTTATCACATGACGCCCAGATTTTTTCTGGATTACGTCGTCGACAAGGAGTAATATTAAAATCGAGCACACAATTCAGTTCGAAGCATTGTTATTGTAATTAAAAATGGTGGCTAAGAACAGTTTGCGTAGGTAGATTTCTTGTTACTTGATAATTCATGTTGATTGTTATTGGATTAAAACTTGATATTTTGCATAATATGCTCATAGATTTTTTAATATTTAAAAAGGTCTACAGCGGGACCAGTTAGGGACCTAATATGGAGTCGTACAGCTTCACCTCGCCCAATATGGATTTCCATTCACACCCTGTATTAGGTCCCTAACTGACCAGGTCCAGTCCAAAGACTATTTCTACCTACTCAAAGTAGCTATTTTTACCTACTTTTTGTATTATCTACATTTTGTGGCCAAAAGACTGAACGGCGCTATATGATGAATTCCATATTTTTTTTATACAGTCAAACTAATGATGAATATGACAAAATATTCGCCAAAAAATGATTTCTTCCTGAATCGCAATTATACATTAGTTTCTATGCAAAATTAATGATATACGAAGTAATCATTTTTTGGCCAAATTTTTCTCATATCCATCATCAGTGAGACTATATCACGAAATTCAGTGCTCACCATGTTGCGCCGTTCCTGCGTTTGGCCACAAAATGCAAGTAAAGCAGAAAGTAGGTAAAAATAGCTACTTTGGGTAGGTTTAAATACCTATGTAGCTATAAATAGCTACATAGGTAGAAAAAGTCTTTGGACTGGACCTGCTGACAGCGTAACTAATAATAACAGGGCTTTTGTCCGAGTTATCTCAAAAGTTTATTTATATATAAATGTCAATGAATCAAAATGTTAGTTATGTGCAATGTGGTTTGTCAACTGGGCAAAATTTTCACATTTCATTTAATTAGTTATATTCAACAGGTCCAGTACAATCTCTTGATTTAGCTATATAGCTTTAAATAGCTATATAGCTTTATTTAGCTATTCAAAATAGCTTTATTTAGCTATTTATATACAGTTTTTCACAAAAATATTTTTTGTTGAAAATAAACAAAAAGTTGCATGTATTTGAATCTTCATACATGTACTATAGACTATTAAAACAACAACCAAAATCAAAGATAGTTCTAACTTTGCAGAATACTTTTAAGCAAAATGAGAATTTCTATTGTTAGACTAACTGTCCACTAACTTGGTGCCTTGAGGCAAAGAAAAGTATGATTGCTTCTCATTGTGCTGAACTATTACCAATCAATTATCTTGTTGAACATAATTGGTCTCCATTATAATATCATTGCAAAGTAACTGTATCAGTTGCTTTATATAGCCCCAAAACTTGTAGAACTTTGAGTACAAAGTCTCTCAAGGAGACGTAATTTGATGAGTGATTTTTACATGCATTATTTTAAGAAGAGTTCAAAGATGTATATCATCACTGCACCATGGTGCGCTTTTTTGTACATACTGAGAAAATTACACCTTTAAGAAAAAAGTGTAGTAAATAGCTAAATTAAGCTATACAGAATAGCTTAATAAAGCTATATAGCTATTTAAAGCTATATAGCTAAATCAAGAGATTGTACTGGACCTGTTCAAGTGATGTTTTCGGAATACTTTTTTGGCAAATTTAGTAAATGTTAAAGCATTTTAGAAGCTCTATCAGAGTTTACTAAAAAATCATTTCCCAAGATGGAGAAATTATTAATGCTCTAAACCTCCCTTAGTCTTACATGTACCATTAGTCAAACAGAAATTGAAAATATGAAATGGAGGGATGACATTACACGATATGTGTGCAGTAATGAGATTACTTGTTTTTTTTTTCAGGCATTCCCTGTTGGACATTCTTAGAATTATTGGATAAGCTTTTGCACCAAGTTTTAAATTGAATGAAATAAAAATACGACATTTAAGATTGAACAATTTTTTTGCATTAATGTTTTCTTTGACAGTTCACATTTTCATAGCACAATTCAACTGATCAAAACAATCTATATCTACGATGAAAGTACATATTCTAACAAGGAACATTTAAACTTGAAAACTGAAAGTTCGATTTTCATTTTGTGTGTCAACAATGACTGATGATGAACGATTTATTTGAGCAAGCATAGCTTTCAACCAACCATGTTGATAATTCAGCGGAAGAGGCAAAACTGTTGATAACTTACAAAACCGTAAAATATTTCCGGAATATCCTTACAATCACAAAATCCGAGTATCAGTAATTTTTTTCTAACAGATGAACTTAGGATTAATTAAATAAATTTATGACGAAGAACATTTCCCAATTCATATAAAATCTGAATTCTTATATGTATTAGAATGTTTCGGATTCATGCTAACTAAGGTTTTCATTTAATCATTACTTTTCCTTGTAGCACTTCCTGTTCTCAGTAAAAACCCTTCCAATATCTGAACACGTGCGAGGAACTTTGAAATTTTACAATGTTATCCTTACTTTTGCTGCGATAACAAGTATATCCTTGTTTTGAAAGGTAAAGATTAACTTAGGGTTGCCACAGTTTAACAAAATTGAAAATTGAGCTGTACATTGGACATATGACTTCATTTTCTCAATCTGCCAGTGTATAACTATAACATTTGTAAAAGTTGTAATATTGCCCATTTAACACAACAGTCTTATACTGGAAAAATAATTAATGCCAATTGATTAATCAAATGCATTTAATAATCGATACTAGATAATGTTTAATGTATAATAACAAAACAATACTATGTTATAGGTAAAAAAATGAAGTCAAAGAAGAAAGAAAATGCAGTCGAATCTGATAATAAAACTACATGTGTGAACCCAGGACCAGAAGCTGACTTTGAATTTTTTAGGAGAGTTCTTGATACTATTCCACCGGCATCCTTTTTTTCTGAAGACACAAAAGAAAAACTTTTGCAGGAATCCGATGAAAGTGAATCAGAATCGGATGAAGTTGACGGTATTCAGTATATCACATGTATATTTCAATGATCAGATGATGAAAGTGGGAAATTACATATTCAATTATCAGACTTTTTAAAATAAAATACAAAAAAAGAGGTTAATTATAGCAATCAATAAGAATCAAATAATTTATTTTGTTGAGTACATGTATGTCATTTTTCTTAGTCATTTATATATTTGACAATGTGACCCCTAATCATGCTAATAGTTTAGCCTTACATTACTCACAAGAAACATTTATAATCACTTCTACCTTAAAAACCCTTTGTAAATTAAAATGCTCATCGATCTTACAAGAAAGTAATATGTAAGGTTCACACTGTATAGTCTTACTTCAAACAGCATCATTCTTCATACTTTATTTGTCAGTTGCATTTCCAGAAGAGATTACATGCAAAGAGTGCAAGTATTTAACATATGAGCTTCATACACTCACACATTTTCTTTTAGTAAATTTAAGGCACAGTTATTTTCTTCGAATGAATTCTCCATAAAAAAAAAAAAAAATCCAACGACACTTTAAAGATTCCAATCCAAATTTTGGTTGTTCTTACATGTAGATCTTACAATGAATTCTTATTTTCTATAATCAATTTTGCATTGATGCTTTGGATTCTATTTGTGAAAACAATCTGAATAGTTATCTTGTGAAGAGTTTTGAATTTGATGCATTTGAAAGCTCATCACTGATTATACTTAATGAAAACATTTCATTATTTATCATCTGTATGTCTCTGACACTGCATGTGTCCTACATTTAGTCAAGAAAAACAGTTATTTTCATATGTTTAAATTGATCTTTATAGCACAATCTCAGTCTGTTAATGGCCAATAATATCAAAATACATAATGATACATGTATTAGAACAGAGTTAAACAGTGAAAACCATCATGTCTTGTCAGTCAATGTATTTTTTTCACTTCATTTACCTAAATGCAGAATTTGCTTTGTTATAAAATATAGGAAAAAGGAAAATTATTCAGATTCATTAATTTAAAGTTGCAATTCACAGGGTGGATCTTCCAGACCATTATTCAGTAATTTTCTTCTTTTGAATAATTAAAAATTGGAAAAGGAACCTACATCATGTATGTTCTTTGCAACTTCCAGGATTCATTGTTTCTTAATACATATTTCAGGTATAGATGTGAAAAAGAGGAAAAAAGAACAGAAGTCTAAAGGCGGAAAGAAACAGAAGTTAAATCCCCTGCAAATTAAAACGGTTTCTCAAATACAGTTTGAATCCCAATCACCTGAAGAGGAGGAACCTTGTATGTAGTATTTTTTTGAAAAGCTTTCCTAAGTTATAGAATTTTTACTTTTTATCTGTCATATTTGCTAAAGCAGATTTTTATATAGGTCTGCATATCCACCTTTCTATCTATCTATCTGTCAATTTGTGTGTACCGCTTAGTTTCTGGATGATATCTTGGTATGTAGACATTATCATTTAGATCAATTTTAATTCCATTCAAACCAAGCCTCTTTGGGATAGGATTGGACCAGGAAGAGATCTCATTAAATCAATTTTTAAACAAACATTTTAAGACCAGCAGGATTTAGCTCATTTAGGGAATTATAGTTTAACATTTAAGAATATTGTATAATGTGAAAACAAATTGAAAAATATATTCTCTAGAACAAAAAAATCTGAACATTTTCTCCAATTTATGCATTTATACTACACAGTTTAGACTAAGAAAGAATGGGCAACATGATTTAAAAGATAAGATAAGATTTATATAAATAGTGTAGTAGCTCAAAGGACTCTTGACACTGGACAAATTTCAGTTCAAACATGAACTAAAGATATTAGAAAAAAATCATGTGACAAAATGAGAGAATTAGATATTCTCTCTCATTTGTCACCCAAAATCTTGATAACTGAGTTGAAGGAGGATTTTTTCATGTAAATTTTTATGATGATGTTTAAATGTTTATTTTATTATAGATAGCAAAATTAAAGAGAAACAGAAGCACAAACACAAAGGAAAAAGCAACAAGAAATCTGATGGAGGGGAGGGAACTCCAGATATTAGTAAGGCAGCAAGGTTAGATGCTCTCAGGCAGAAAATGGTGGAAATGCAAAAGCTGGGCAGTGAGTTCGCATCATTTGATTTTATATTAAGAAATCAAAGATTTTAGATTTCATGATTAAAATTTTTTTTGGTATGAAATGAAAGTTAGAGCTAGAATACCTGGAATTTTGCAGTGCGAAATGTTTTAATTTTAGAAGTTAATTATTCTTTGCTGGTAGACATATAGAAAACTTATTTGAATGGTACCCAGGGGATGCCAGGATTTGTTGATACAATAATAGAATTTGACACTCTGTCTCAATCGTGTTGATAATTCTTTTTCCAGAGGAAAGGACATTAACTCCTACAGAATTACAAGAAAAGAAAAGACTCCAAAGAAAAGAGAGCAAATTAAAAAGTAGAGTCAAGCGAAAGAAGAATAAAAACCCTGTGTTAAAAGCTAGCGGACCAGTGAATGGTGATGCTGTGGCTGGGTATAAATCCCCAGAGCGTCCGTCAGTGATGGACAAGGGGGGCAAACTCGTGTTTAGCAAATTTGACTTCACAAAGAACGATGAGAAGGAAAAACATAAAAACTCTCTACATGGAAAAGACTTTAAGAGACTCCTAGAAAATATTGAAAAGAGGAAATCAAAGGTAGAGAATATGAAGGAAAAAGATGCAGAAAAGGCAAAGAAAATGGAGCAAAAGAATTCATGGCAAAGTGTCATGCTGAGGGCGGAAGGAGAGAAGGTCAAAGATGATCCTGCTTTGTTAAAGAAGGCACTGAAAAAGAAAGAGAAAATGAAAGAGAGAAAGAAGGCCAAATGGACAGAGAGGCAAGACGTTGTGAATAAAAAGATGGAAAAGAGACAAGAAAAGAGACAAAAAAATATACAAAGCCGAAAGCAGAGCAAGAAAGACAACAAAATAAAACTGGCCAAAAAGAAAGGCAGGATGGTACCAGGGTTTTAACACTGTATATTGATAATTTCCTTGGCCTTTTTTAAAATGTTTTAAAAACTGGTTTAGATTTAAATGAAGTTAGCTGAAACATGAATACTTGTTACTTGTACATGTACCGGTATGTATCATTTGTCCATTTCCAATAGCATAAGGATTTTAGGGGGTGGGGGGTAGGGGTTAGGGGTGAGTGTGTTGGTAAATGTGTTATATGCTGACTTGTGTCATAAAATATTTGCATTTTTTTTTTATGTTAGTGACTCTACACAAAGTTGTTATTTTTGTATTTTCCTTCATTTGTAAGTATATGGTTTTTTTTGCATTATTTGTACATTGAATATCAAATTTAAGATTTTCTTGTATGTTTGAAGCTGACAAGAATAGCTTCAAAAATAATTTTAAATAAGTACAATGTGTACTTGAATATTCATAATTGCTTTTTAACAAAGAGGTTTAACATATACATACACATGCCTTGTATAAAATATATAAATCTTGTGGGTGATTGTGATGAATTTATTAGCAAAATTTCTAAAGTGCTAATATTGAATGAGATGTGTACAATTTAATAAAATGAAGAGATGCAACATTTTCAATGTGTAATCTAGAAAATGATTTTTATCATTGAAGTAAATACATGGAAATTTATGAAATGTGTTCAAATAATATTTGAAACCCATCAAAAGGGAATGAATGCAATGACAAGGATCAGTGTGACTTTATTTTGCGAATTGAGATGCTAGTTCTTAGAGTCTAATTGTATCATTATACAATGTATGTATAATTATATTATGCATATTGAGTTATATGAGACACATTCTTCAGACTATTAGTTAGTAAAACCAGAGAGAAAACAAGATGTGTTTGTGTAACTCTGATACCTAATGTGGCAGCTTATGTCAAAGATTTAAATTTATCAAATGCAAGTCACACTCCAAGATCAAGGGAAAGGGTCAAAATTGTTGCTACCAAGAGGAAGGTGTTTTCACAAGGAATACACCTGTGAAATATGAAAACTCTAGAACTAATGAAAGTTTGATTATACCAATTGAAATATTTTTCAAAATAAGGGGGGTGTTATTGCCCCCTCCTCCTGGAAATGACAACACACTATTTAAAAATAAATATCTCAAAGTGATAAATTGTAACAACTTAGTTGTAAGAATTGTTGATGCATGTTTTGATGACATGTAAAGTTCCACGTGGAATTCTAAAATTAGTAATGTGTTTATTCCGGAAGTTGACTTCAACCCGGATTATGTGGATTGTTGAGGAAGATTGACATGGCGTTTATTTTCTGTAATTAAAGAAAAAATAGTTAAATGCACGACTGGTAGGCTCTCTCGCATAAATACACAGAATCTTGGAAAAAAGGATTGAGTAACAGCGATTTTTCACTATTCCTGAAATACACACAAGTTTGGTTTTAATTTTAGTCACGACCACAAGATAAAATCCGAGAGGGAGTGAACGGTTATCGGATAGTTGGATTCATTTCATTACAAGCTAAAGGTACAGTATATTAGATCTATAGCTGTTATTTCCATTATTGATATTTATCATTGTAATGATATTGTTCATTTTTTTGGAGTGAATTGAGGACTCAGGTTATATAATATGCTCCAACTCGAAGCAGCCGCTATTTAGCCCGAATTTCCTGTGAAATTCACACTATCAAAAATGGCTTTACGGGAAAGAGGAGTTGGGGGGGGGGGGGCTGTGAACTTCATTTTATTTCATGTTTTACCACCAGTGTCCAGTGGAGTCACACCTGACCTCTTGAGGCTCCGTGTTTGTTATCTTATTTTTAATTATAAATACCGAGAACCACACACTGACACAGGGAAATAAAATCCATATTTAAAAAAAAAGAAAAGAAAAAAAAATAGAATAGCAGTCTTTAAACAGGTTGGGTACAATCGCCCAAATGGGATATAATAGTCCGTTTGGGATATAATATCCCAAATGGGCTATACATTTACAGTGCAAAAATTGAAAATTTTTATTTTTTAAATAAATATCTAAAATCCGCATCAAAACACTTAAAAAGGAATAACTTTTGGTTGACAAGTTTTCCTGTATGTCATTTGTTTAGGAGATCGATCCCTCGGAAGTTCCTTAACTTCTTGGGGATCAATTGAACAAACGGTAGGGTTGCAGAAAAACTTGCTTACCAAAAGTTATTCCTTTTTAAGTGTTTTGATGCGGATTTATGATATTTATTGCTGAGATAAAAATTTTCATTTTTTGCACTGTAAATTTATAGCCCATTTGGGATATTATATCCCAAACGGACTATTATATCCGATTTGGGCAATTGGACTCAACCTGTTAAAATATGATGCTAAACATTTTGTGTTTGCACTCGGAAAACCAGAGTACCAATTTGTCAAGTTGGTTAAGTGTTAAGTAAATCCAGGCTTTCAAATTTTTGTTCAGTCTATATCTTTTATGTCTAGTTTGACAAAAGACCTTAATAGTTCTTGTGATCTCAATCCAAAGGGGGGGGGGAGGGGCACTGTACCAAGATTAAAATCAAGCATCAACATTCACTCAAGAGAGAGCAGAAAATTGCTTGAAATCAAACACTTACAAAATATTGGAGGGAAACAAATATACAATTCAATTTTTTAAAAACTCACTTTAAATTAATATTAAAGTTAACTGTTTTAGGCTCAAGTGAGCATTTCCAATAAAAATTTTTGTTGTCAGTCATTGTCATCATTGTGACAAGGAGTATTTTGTTGCAAACTTTTCACATTTTCATCTTTTCCAGAATAACTAGGCCTATTTCAATCAAACTTGATAAAAAGCATTCTTTTGTGAATAAGAAAATGAAGGGCCACATCCTCTTCAAGGAGAGAAAATATAATATATGAACATGATGAAAATTTTCTTCTCAACATATATTACAAGAATCGTGGGGACAGAAAAGATAAAATTTATTTAATTTACTTAATTTAAGGGGGCCGACTATAGTTTTCATTGTGCAATATTTTGCGCATCATTATAGTAAAACGAAGCGTATTTACTGTTTTAATGGAACTTTTCTCGCTTAATTATTAAAATTAAACAAAATTAAGAAATAATAGGTATATAAATGTAATTAAAATTTGATATAACTGATTTTTGAAACCGATTTTGCAATTGATAGGTAGGTTGACGACGTTGCAGTGTGTTTTTGACGTTAGGATAATCTGTACCTCTTAAAGAAAGGGGTAATAAAAATATTATTTAAGAAAAAGTAACAAACATACACTGTTGAAATTTAAAACATAGAAATTTGAGAATATCTCCAATATTTTTATAATGTTTTCATGTGAATCCATTGTGTACGTCATTTTTTGTAGTACTCTATAAAAATAGTAAAATTTGCAATTTTTTTGCATTTTGAGATGCCCCCTCTGGTAACAAGACGGTACTTACATATATTGTATAATATAGTATTACTCATCAAATATCATAGTTTGAACAAAATGTCTATTCAATGTAGTATTTGTATAATTTGCTTTAAAGTGCTAAAATTTGGCATTTTCCTATATAATCCTATAGTAAATGTACCTGTATTTTGAGACGGTCCCTTCAAAAATACCTGGACGGTAGATTTCCCCCAAACTTTTCATGTACACTGAAAATAGTGTAAGTTATATATGGTATAAAAATGAGGAGTTTCGCTATTATAGTTTTCACACAATAAAACTATAGTCGGCCCCCTTAAATTCAAGTTTGTTCAAATTAAACTCAAGTCATAAAATTGCTCTTTGATATTGAGAAACTTTGAATTGTGACATGTCAATTACCTACACCTCAGTCTGGTGTATGGAAATATACACCCGCAGTGTTTTCCCTTTAATTCAAAGTAAAGGGTTAGAAATAAATTGTAACAGGTTAGGGGCTGAGATTTTTAAACAAAATCTCTGTGGACCTTACACATGTTACAACAAATTTTTATTTCAAAGCGGCATTTTTGTCAGTTGAAGTGGTCAATTTGGCCGGTAGCTGGTTCTTAGGGAAAACACTGCACCCGACTTGCTTACCAGTCAAAACTCGTGTTACAAGCAAGACAGGAAATAAGAACCTCAATACTGCATCTATTATTTATCTACTCAAATGGATCACATAACAGATAGCCTCTGTCAGAAGTTAAAATTATCATTTCTTTCCTAAGGAAGATATGAAATAGCACTCAGCCTCTGGAATGACTTCACTGATTGTAAAGATTGATACAGGGCAGTTGTAGAGAGCTTTTGGTATTGATTATACAGTAGCATCAGCCCTAGAATATTCTGTTCTTCAACTGATTGGGTTGATTTTGGGTTTATTTATACACTTGTAACATCAATCAATCCATGTGACACAATAACCTCTGTGAATTGTTTTTGAGAATGAAGCACAATTAAGGCCACCCTTAAAAATTGTTTGTTTGGAATTGCCGCCAGGAGGGTTTCAGACACAGGAGGGAGGGAGGGAATTTTTTTTTTTCAGAATTGAAGATACCAGGTAAATTTTTTTTATAAAAATCTCAGTAAACACATTTTCTGACTTTTTAAAAAAGTATTTACCATCAACAAAGAAATTTAATTTTGCATAGATCTGACACTACATTTCAGTGTTTTGTATTGTGCATGTGATAACGGGCAATAAAAAAAAATCTTCCTACTTTTGGTCAATAAAATTTTTTCAGGAGGGGGCATTTCAATGAGGTGGGAGGCAATTCCAAACAAAGAATAATTTTATTTTGGCCTAAGAGAGATAATAATGGGTAACAAACCACAGAGGAATACACTGTTATATCACATATATGGTAAACATCTGAAAATAGAAACTCTTGGTTATATTGGATTTAATCTGAAGGTTAGTGGGGAAAAATGTTTGATGACTTGATGTTATAATTTCCTGGATCGTGTAACCAAATTACCAAAAATAGATCAATTCCCTTGTTGTGTTAGAATTATGTGTATTAAATAAAATGTCAGAAATAAGTAATGTTATAGGATTTATATTGTATCTCTATCAGTCTCAGTGCTTTAAAAAATATTCTTGTTGTTGACATTTAGTCTTTATACGCTGTTCAAATAGTAAAATGTTTGTTTCTTGGTCAAGTAATCAATGTTACATTCTGTAAGTGTGTACACTGTACAGGACAAATGCCTATAAGGCAGGTGAAATGAAAATCGATCAATAGATTAGTTTTTTTTCTCTCTAGTATCTAGAGAGAGGGATACAGCTTGTAAATGTAATTGAAATTTTACACAGCTGATATTGGTATACATATGATGCATGGTTCAGTAATATGAATTAAATTTATTGCATTCTGAGAGTGTTTTTTAAAATGTGATTTTATCTATTGGTATTGAAGTTTCATTGTGGATATTGTCTGAAAATTTCAAATCTGTTGACATATAACAGAAAAACTCGCAGGAGTGTCTTTTGTTTTAATTGTTTACTTTGACATTATTACATATTAAGCAGATACCGGTATATTTGTCCTCATTACATCACATTCTGTATTAGTATTGATTGTTGACTTGTTTTTTTAAGTATACTTTAGGGAATTTACTGACAGTTCTAGTACATTGATATTTATGGGTATGGGATATCAGTTGGAGACCATTTTATACTTTGGGATGTCATCAATCCTATGCTGTGGGATGTCATCTTTCACTGGGGAATGCCCGATCCCTCATTAACAAAAGGAAAAATCAATAAAATGACCAGATTTTATGAAATATAAGACACCTCTAGTTGATTGACTTTGAAACTTGTTGTTTTCTTTCCCCCAATTGCGTAGACTGAAATGCCTAGAAAAATACATCTTGCTGTCCAACTGTGACAAAAAGTAATAAGTTTTGCACAATTCCAGGGAATTCTGATGCAGTATGCTTGATACATTGTGGCATGAAATCAATACATAGCGACAGCTTTTTGATTCAGTCTTTGAGTCAATTCTTCACTGTAATCAATGGAAACTTCAATCAGCTTTGCAAATTCAAATTGGAAGCTTGACTATGTAATTGTTTTGAACATTTAAGCTCTAATTTATTTTGTAACTGCAGATGACAATGAAAGCGGGGAAATGTCCAACGGACGAATTGTCCACTACAAATTATGCTATCACCTCTCCTCTTGACATAGATGACGAACAATGCAGGTATGTATATATATTTTATATTTTATGTATTATTAGCATTGATGATTTTTTAACTATGTTTTGCTTATATAAAGGAGTGATTATTTTTAAATCTTTGAGGAAATAAAATAAAAAAGCAGAGTTACATTGAATATTTGTTCAGTTTATGAACAGATGAATATATTCTTTGATCATGTTAACAATTAGGTATAGGATATGCATTTGTTTCTAATCCCCTTGACCACATATTTAAGCCTAGCCATTTTGAAATTGAGGCAACATAATTAAGGAGGGTTGTTATAGTAGGTCAAAGTCATTTTATGAGAACATCATATGTTAAGGCTCTCAGTTTTGATATTGCACATTTTTTAAAGGACAAACTCACTATTCTTGAATTGTATATTTTTGTGGATGTAAAATTTTGATAACTTTTATTATTTTCAATTCAGGCATGTAGAAATTTACACCTCTCCACATATGAAGTTTGTATTCTCCGTGAAGAACAGTCCACGCATGCAACAAGGTTATGTGGGGTTTAACTTGATGCAAGTAAGTTTCTGAAATATTCTATATGTTGTTAATATTTTTTCTTCATTTTCTCCATTCAAGAATTATATACATGTATAATCAAATCATTATATAATGACAAAAATTTTGAAGAAGCTATATTTTATAAATCACAAAGTTATTCGAAATCAAAATTTTGACTTAAGTCTGTTCTCAGTTTATGGTCTTGAGGCCAGGCATGGGATGGCATGCATTTTTATTCACAGTAAGTTTTTTCCTTTTTTCAGAGAAGATGGGCAAATATTTCATTGAATCAAGAATTAACAGTAAAAACTTACAAATTCAATCCCAAAACAGACACAATAGGGACCATCGTAGTAGAGGTGGACTTCCTACAGAAGAAAAAGTAAGAGAATTTGAACAGTATATGTACATGTAGCAATATTGGACAATTTAAATAATTTCTTCATTTCATGTCTTTGATTTGATTTTTCTTTTAAAAGATATCATAGGTTAATAATGAGTATATTTACTACATATGGGGGTAAAATTGATTTTTTGCTTGTTGTTTTTGCAGTGCTAATTCAGATCCACATGACACAGACAAGATGGCAGCTGAGTTTTTAATGCAGTTCAACAACATGGCGTTTACAGAGGGGCAGAGTTTGGCTTTTCAGTTTGCTGACAAAAAATTACTTGTCCTCACTGTCAAAGAGATAGAAGGTACAACATGCTGAGTTCTTCATCTATATTAATTATTATTTTTTGAATAATGTAAATAGGTAGAATTTTGGAGATGGAAAAAAGGTGATTTCTGACAATACATTTTGATATGAAAGATGACACTTTATTTTCATTGCTTTTTATGAAAAGATGCCCAACAACATTGTATTTGAGTGATGAAAGAAAATTGAATTTGTAAAATACAAACTGTGAGATGTCAAAAATTATTTTGCAGTAATTGACTTCACCAAAATGAAAGATGGAAGCACTGGAACCTCAAAGAGAGTAAGATTTATTTTAAAAAAAAAATTTAATTGGATAATCTGTGTAAAACAATTCTGTTCCTATTTGCAGGGCACTTTATTCATAGTCTGCTGTCATGTTTAAGGCTGAGTAAAATGTGAAAAAAAATTTCAGGTACAATTAGGTTTGTTGACTCCTAACACAACAGTGGTGTTTGAAAAAGCAGATACATCCACAATTAATTTGACAGGAAAATCCAAAAGGTGAATACAAGATATGATGCTCTATTTTTCTCCCCCAATTTTTGGGATATTTCTAGCTAATATCTGATTTATTAAAAATTTTCATCTGTACATGTCCCATGCTTGTACATGTAAAAAGTGAGCAAATATTCTCTTTCACATTAATTTGAAAATAATGCCTGTTTCCACTTGCATATTTTTCAAACAAGTCAGGTAAGAAACCTTACATTAAATCTGATGAATATTTACTGTTTTTCTTCAGTAAGCAGGCCTTTACCTCCATTATCAACCCTGACTGGGATTTCAATAAGATGGGTATTGGTGGTCTGGACAAAGAATTCTCAGCAATATTTAGGAGAGCGTTTGCCTCTCGAGTGTTCCCACCAGAAGTCATAGAACAGTTAGGTGAGGTGTCTTCCTGGTATTACCACTGTCTTTTCCATTGTTGTTTCCAAAACTTGAACCTTATGGAGCACTTTATCAGAAGGGCCATAACTTTGATTCCACAAATTTTGAAGAATGGGATTGTTGACCTCCCATAATATTCAAAATTCTTCTTTAATTGTCATGAAGTACAAATGAGAGCATTATTTAAATTTATGGATTTTTTTAGGGATGAAGCATGTGAAAGGTATTCTACTGTTTGGTCCCCCAGGTACTGGAAAAACTTTGATGGCCAGGTACCAATTAAAAACTTCTTTTCACAATGAAAATATATTTTGAGGAGATTTTACATTTTAGAAAATCAAAAAATTGAAGTATTTAATCCTGAATGACTATGTCCTATTTGCTAATTTTTGACTTATTTTACATATATATGTATACAATATACATTTTATGATATACATGTAAATGTTTATAAAACATGGCTTGCTCATTATTATGATTATTGAATTTTTGTCTTACTCTGTAGTAATCTAATTTTTTTCCATTCCTATGAATCTACAGACAGATAGGAAAGATGTTAAATGCCAGGGAACCTAAGATTATAAACGGACCACAGATTCTAGATAAATATGTTGGAGAGTCAGAGAAAAACATCAGGATGCTTTTTGCAGAAGCCGAAGAAGAGGAACAAAGGGTATGGGATTTGAAAACATAATTTCTGAGTTAACCAAATTTTTACCTATGTTGATATGACTTTTAGAAGAAATTAAATCTGACTTTTCCTTTTGTAGTGTGGTCCTCACAGTGGTCTACACATCATTATATTTGATGAGATTGATGCCATTTGTAAGTCCAGAGGCTCTGTGGTAAGTTGAATTGTACTTTGGATATCCTTCTTAGTTCCTTGCCTTCATAAGAAATATGGTATTTAGCTTTGATATATCTTAATGTTTGATTACTTCATTACTGAATGAATTTTGTTCTATGGTTAGTTTGTGATTACCTCACAGATACCTATAATTATTTAACAATCTGGCTTTCTTGTTAATCTGAAATATGCATCAAAATAACAATTGCTAAAGTTATAATCTTATTTAATAATAGGCTGGAAACACAGGGGTTCATGACACAGTGGTAAATCAGTTGTTGTCAAAGATTGATGGTGTGAATCAGCTAAACAACATCCTTGTTATAGGTAAATCAGCATTAACAACAGAAAATTAGCATTCATTTAGGCAAAGAATCATATCAGATGCAGTATTACAATGACTCAATTATATATTCATATGTTTTTAATATTTCAGGAATGACCAACAGGAAAGATATGATCGATGAAGCTTTAATAAGACCAGGGAGATTAGAAGTTCAGATGGAAATTGGTATGTGATTCCTGTTTATTATAAATGAAAATATTTGAAAACTGCATCATTGTGTTCTTATTACAAAAAAAAAAACAGTGAAGTTCAAACAATTTGTATTTTGATTTAATGGCCAAAAAAAAAATCTTTTTGCCACACAGGTTTACCAGATGAACAAGGCAGGCTACAGATTTTAAACATCCACACCTCTACAATGAGAGAAAATGGCAAGCTGTCCCCAGATGTAAATATTGAGGAGCTGGCAGCCTTGACTAAGAACTTTAGCGGGGCAGAGATTGAAGGCCTGGTAAAGGCAGCACAGTCCACCGCCATGAACCGCCTGATCAAGGCCACCAGTAAGGTGGAGGTAGATCCAGATGCCGTGGAGAAACTACTGATCACCAGGAAGGACTTCATGCATGCTCTGGAACACGACTGCAGTCCAGTAAGTGAAAGATTTATACTGTAAAAGCACAAATATTCATGGGGGGTTAAATTTGGTTTATTTCACTGTCAACAATCATCAACGAAATTAGATCCCACACAGACTTTTATTTGACTATGTATTGAATAGGTTTACTTTCAAAACGATGAAATTAAATGCCCAGGAAACTACTTTTGCTGACAAAACAACAGAATTTTATCCCTATGCAAAGTGCTTCTATAGTAATTGGAAGAAAAATTAAATCTGAGAATTACCGATCATCATTGGAAGAAAAATTAAATCTGAGAAATACTGATAAATTTTCGAAGATACATGTATTTATATACTGGAAAATAATTTTTGTATTGGATATTAGCAAAATGGAGAAGTGATAACTGATTATGTGACATAAAGAAATTTTGGAATAGGTCAAACTGAATATGAGATTTCATCCAAAATGTGTATTTAATATTTCTTGTATTATAGGCATTTGGAAGCAGTAAGAAAGAGTTTGAGAAATATATATCCAATGGAATCATAACCTGGGGAGATCCTGTCCACAGAGTATTAGAGGATGGAGATCTACTGATATCACAGGCCAAAACTAGTGTTACCACACCTCTAGTCACAGTACTGGTGGAAGGTAGGTACTAAGTACTTAATGGGACATTAACTACTGTAGAATATTTTGAAATTAACAATTGTAGTCTTATAAAGCCAGTTTGCTAAAATTAGTGTTTTCTTATTTAAAATACATGTACTCATATGATATCAAATTATCATTATTATTGAAGTAATGGTTAGAATTATTCTCCACTTGTTGTACTGTTGGTTTTATTCTGACACCCCCCCCCCCCCCCCCTTGAAAAAGAAAATAGACTTACTTCTGGCGTATTGAAATTTGGACTCAGTTTCTTTATGTATGGATAAGATTAAATCTTTTATGACAAGTGTTCTGATAGTTTTATCATTGTGTTTTTCATATAGGTCCACCAAACAGTGGGAAAACCTCCCTGGCTGCACAGATAGCCAAAAATTCAGATTTCCCATTCATCAAAGTGATCAGTGCAGAGAACATGATTGGTTTTACAGAACCTGCTAAGTGTCAGGCAATAAAGAAGGTAAATTTTTTGATATCAGTATTGGGTCTTAATTTTGATAATAGAGTAGTCTTATAAACTTTGCACCCTATGCATAGATATGCTATGCAAATAAAAAGAATATGAATGCTTATTGTCATCGAAGTATATGCAGTACTATTCAGTAAAAAAATCAAAGATTGCAAACATGTATTTAGTATATGTTATTAATGATGTGAAAAATTGAATGTGATCCAGGAAAACATGCAGTGCATGTAAATTTATCTCTTTTATTCACTTATTTATAGATGTTTGATGATGCATACAAATCTCCACTAAGCTGTATCATTGTTGATGACATTGAAAGACTTTTAGGTATGTATTTTTTTTTCATTTCAAAATTTTTTTGACAAATGAATGAGAAATTTTCCTCTATTCACTGTTAACTGGTAAGATTATTATACCCCCCGCAAATGAAGTTTGGGGGGGTATATAGGAATCACCTTGTCCGTCTGTCCGTCTGTCTGTGCAAACGTGTTTGGTCCATATCTTTCTTACGGAGGGACATTAGAATCTACTACTCCACCCAAAGATTGCCCATGACCTAAGGGTGTGTCATGACTTTGAACCAAGGTCATTTGGGGAAGTTAAAGGTCACTGGAAGAAAAATTCAGAATTCGCGTCCAGTCCATATCTTTCTTATGGATAAATTTGGTAGGTTCTCATTTCAGATGAAGATTGCCCATGATCTTAGGGTGTGTCTTGACCTTGACCCAAGGTCATTTGGGGAACTTCAAGGTCAATGGAAGAAAAATTTCATAATTCGTGTCCAGACCATATCTTTCTTATGGATAAACTTGATAGGTTCTCATTTCACACGAAGGTTGCCCATAACCTAAGGGTGTGTCATGACCTTGACCAAAAGTCATTTGGGGAACTTCAAGGTCACTGGAAGAAAAATTACATAATTTGTATTCGGTCCATATCTTTCTTATGAATAAATTTGGTAGGTTCTCATTTCAGATGAAGATTACCCATGACCTTAGGGTGTGTCATGACCTTGACCAAGGTCATTTGAGGAAGTTCAAGGTCAATGGAAGAAATATTTCATAATTCGTGTCCGGTCCATATCTTTCTTATGGATAAACTTGGTAGGTTCTCATTTCACACAAAGATTGCCCATGACCTAAGGGTGTGTTGTAACCTTGACCCAAGGTCATTTTGGGAAGTTCAAGGTCACTGGAAGAAAAATTTCATAATTTTTGTCCAGTCCATATCTTTCTTATTGATAAACTTGGTAGGTTCTCATTTCACACAAAGATTGCCCATGACCCAAGGGTTTGTCATGACCTTGACCCAAGGTCAATTGAGGAAGTTCATGGTCACTGAAAGAAAAATTTTATAATTCCTGTGTGATACATATCCTTCTTATTGAAAAACTTACTTCTGAAAAACCCAGCGGGGGGTATTTTGTTCCGTTTGGACAGTTCTAGTTATTTATGTACATGTATGTTTTACACTGCTTATTATATGTTTATACAATATTTTTCTAACCCCAATTTGATGTGGGTTTTTTGAAGCTAATTCAAGTACTTCGGCGAGAGAAAAGTTTGGTAGGTTTATATATCGGAAAATGAGACTTAAACACAAAATCTCCATGGTCTTCCTTTGGTGCTTTATTTTTGACTTGTTATTGTTTCTTTTTATTAATGTTGTCAACCAATATTCGAGAACTCGACTATCGTTTGATCATACCGACTATCGACTAAAATTTCTTAAGTCAGTCATCCGTTAAATTTTTTTTTCAAAATCTACAGTTTTGGTATAGTTTAAAAAAAAAAGAAACAATGTTATCAAGATTATGTGAAATAGAACTTTTATTTTGCAATGTACCATCAAACATTATGTATCATATGCCGAATCAGTCAAACATATACACAATCTTCAACTGAAATTTTTCTATAGTTAGTTCTCCACAAAAATGTCAAAAAAGCAAAGTGGTAAAGAAAATCAAACATGATTATGAAAAATTGTTTACCTCTTACTGTTTTAAATAGAGAGGGCAATTGTTTACTGGTACTTTTGTGAATTCAAACTAAGGTCCGACGTGATACACCTATTTAGAAAGAATATTAATTAAACAGCTACATGTAATACAAAATTATAAATACATGTTTGCACTAAATTTCATAATTAAAATTCATCCCAAGCTCTAGCTCTCACTTTGTTTTTATGATAGACACGCCTTAATTGTTAAACAGTCAAAGATCATTGATAGACACGTAGAAATGGCTTCAGGTATGGGGTAAATGTACTACTGCGATGTAAAAAAAAGACAAATGCGAGTGTTTGATATCCTGCATTTAGATAAAATGTGCAGCGTAATATATTAATTTTGAAATTAAATACATTGGCTACATATTGATATACAGATTTATTGTACTACGTAAATGTTTACAGTTCAGAAATCTGTTGTATAATAGTGACAGAGTAGGTTAAATACTGTAAACTTGTCTGTAAAAAGACAAACAGTGAAATAGACATGAGAAATTAATTATACCCCACGCAACTTAAGTTGCATGAGGTATAATGTTTTTGACCTGTCGGTCAGAGTGTCAGTCAGTCAGTCCTTTTTTTTGTCAGCGCAACTCCTCATAAACCGATGAACAGAATTTCGTCAAACTTTGCAGGTATTTAGGACACAATGTGTAGATATGCATATTACCAGGAAATTCTGATTCCTTTATTTTTTCCGGGAATTTCCTCACTTTTTAACTTAGGCATTTGGCCATACCTTGAATATAGAGATGAACAGTTTGTAAGCGCAACTCCTCATAAACCGCTGCACAGAATTTCATCAAACTTTGGAGATATTTAGGACACAATGTGTAGATGTGCATATTACCAGGAAACTCCGATTCCTTTATTAAGTCGAGATGAGCTTATGCTATACCCCTGGCATTGGTGTCTGCGTTAGCGTCGGAGTCCCAGGTTAAAGTTTTAGGAGCAAGTCCATTCCTAAGTAACTATGAGCCTTACCTGAACCAAACTTGCATGGATGATGCATCTAGGGATGGACACTAACATACTTGCTTCAGATGCTGGATCTGACTTACATTTTCCAGATGAGTGACCAGGTTAAGGTTTTTGGAGCAGGTCCATTCCCAAGATGAGTGACCAGGTTAGAGTTTTTGGAGCAGGTCCATTCCCAAGTAACTATATGCCCTACCAGGATCAAACTTGCATGGATGATGCTTCTAGGGATGGACACTACCAGACTTGCTTCTGATGCTGGATCTGACCTTCATTTTCCAGATGAGTGACCAAGTTAAAGTTTTTGGAGCAGGTCCATTCCCAAGGAACTATAAGCCATACCCAGACCAAACTTGCATGGATGATGCATCTAGTGATGGACACTACAAGACTTGCTTCTGATGCTGGATCTGACCTACATTTTCATTCCCTAATAACTATAAGACCTACCTGAACTAAACTTGCATGGATGATGCATCTAGGGATGGACACTACCAGACTTGCTTTGGATGCTAGATCTGACCTACATTTTCATTCCCAAGTAACTACAAGTTTGGCTTTCCAGAAAGCCTGAAATGTCATCTCTTTGGGCAGTTTGGCTTCGTAAATGTCATAGAATAGACAGTGGAATGTAATTTTTTTCTCAACTATATTACAGATTTTTTTTTCTAAATTATTCCTCTAGGGAAGGGGAGTGGCATTTTATCTGAACAATATTAGATAAAGAAAAAAAGAGTAAAAATCCTATGTTGTGGATAGGAAGGAAATATTTCAACAAATTTATTTTTGGCTGTATATTATTGCGCACAAAAAAATGCGCTGTTTCTCTGTTTATTTCTCCATGCTCTTCAAAATGTCATCTCAAAATATTACTAACGTACCGTGTCATCCTTACATATTCTTTCGCTGTTTCAACAACAAAACATTCCTTATTATTATTGTTAATAGCCCTCCTGGCGCTGAAAGTGAGATGATCGGAAAAAAAATTGTTTGCAAGATAAAAAAAATCGTTTTTTTTTTAAATTTTGTTTGCAAGATAATTCGGTCTAACGAGGTTTGTGCAGATGTCAACTAAGAGAGCACTCGATAGAAAGCCAAGATATTTCTTTAAGATCACCGTTTTTGCAATTGAGGCAAGAGTTTGAAGGAATTTATCCAGAACCAAGCGCAAATTTTTGTGCACAATAAATATAGTTTTTTTAATGGGTGGCACTGTAGCTCTCTAGTCTGTCAATATATTTTTTTGGAGAGCTACAGCTCTGCAGCTGAGAAAATGATTGCAAGTTCTTTAATTATAAACATGAAATTAAACTCCTCTAAAATAGATTAGACATGCAAAAAAAAAAAAATACTATTGCTTCTTTGTGTTCTTTAATCTTCCAATGTCTGTAGTTTCTTATGGACATTAATGTATCCGCTTATATATACAGTGTAACGTGCTTTAATTTCTGAAGGTTCAGGCTTTACTCTTAATATATTCGATCGCTTAATCAGACTTAAATGTATTATTTTTAAGAAATTTCAGTAAGTTTATAGAATGACTAAAGAACCAAAAACTTGAAGTTTTCGCCATCAATCCATATCAGTAGATGCGATTACTTACATGATTGTTTTAAATTTGATGTTGTTTTTCTGTGAATTCTTGGATCCACGTGTCGGCCGCAGAGGATCAAATTCCATCGAGTTCATACCATCATTTACGTTTACTTTACTCATGTTAATAACATGAGAACATATGTGTTGTGCATGCAACATGTATATTTGAAGAACCCCCACCACCCAGGCGCTTTTGTGTGTCTGACTCTTTATGATGCACAGATTGTTTTTTTTTTCTCAATAATGAGGCAGATCACTCATTGTTTACATCTCGATCTATATTTAGAAAATCGCATCATCATCAAACTGACCAGTCGGTAATCCTCGGGCTCGCACTTTTTTATGGAGCGTAGTGGAGTCAGCCGAGGATTGCCGATGGATAAATGGCAGCTTACACTGTGCCTTCACATCCGGAAATCAAACTTAATGTGTCATCTCTCATGAGAGATGACAATAATACCTACCTGAACTAAACTTGCATGGATGATGCATCTAGGGATGGACACTACAAGACTTGCTTCAGATGCTGGATCTGACCTACATTTTCATTCCCAAGTAACTATTAGACCTACCCGAACCAAATTTGCATGGATGATGCATCTAGGGATGAACACTACGTGACTTGCTTCGGATGCTGAATCTGACCTACATTTTCATTCCCAAGTAACTATAAGACCTACCTGAACTAAACTTGCATGGATGATGCATCTAGGGATGGACACTAACATACTTGCTTTAGATGCTGG